TCAACCCCACCGTTTTATTTGTAAAGAACAAAGCATGAAAAGTCATATTTAAATCCAAAACCTGAAAAATCCATGTCAGTTTGTTCGATATGTTAAAGTGCTTAATATCACAATACTCTTCAGACTTTCTATTATGTTCAGATGGGGGAGGGGGAGAGAATTCCAGTTGTGACATACAGAGTTAATAATACAAAGGGAAGCAATATAATTTAAATGGAGAACTATTAAAAAACAAACAAAAACACAGGGTACCGTTACATGTGGTTCAAGTTCAGCACATTTTTTTCTATGTTTTATATCCTCATTTGACCTTAATATTCCTTTCCACATCAAAATGTGTTTAAAATATACACTGGGTCCAATCCACAAGTAACTGGAACAAGCATGGCTCCTTCCTAAATAACGAAGGATATGACAGAACCCTTTCAGAGAGGGGGGACGTTTACTTGGTGATTTCTTTCCAGTCTGATATAAATATGAATATAAATATGAATACCTCAGTTTGTCTTTCTGAAGTCAGTTTTGACCCTATCCTTGAGAGAGGCATCAGATTTGGGGAGGTATGATCACTGTTGAATTTCCTGTTCTCTTTTGCTGGGGTGCTGAGCCCAGGCCTGGGTATGCTAAGCACACGTATCAGTGAGCTCCACTCTAGCCCACCCTTGGGTTCCTTTCCTCATACTGTAACAGCACACGACTTCAAAAAGCTTCAAATTCGGTTTGATCCAGCAGATTTGTATATGTATTTTAATAGAAATAAGGGACATCTGTCTCCAAGTTGTGCTAAATGATAATGCAATAGTTACATTAGAAACAAAGATTTCTAAAAACACAGATGCTTGCCCAGTGTGGTGGTGCACACCTTTGATCCCAGTGCTGGGACGCAGAGGCAGGCGGAGTTCAAGGCCAGTCAGGTCTACCTGGTGAATTCCAAGACAGGCTCCAAAGCCACACAGAGAAACCCTGTCTTGAAAAATAAACAAAAAACCAAACCAAATCAAACAAAAAAAATAATTAATTAAAAAAATAATAATAAAATAAATCAAACCAACCAGAGGCAAAAGACAGAGGCTTGGAAACAGATGAATTCTATCAAAGCAGAGGAGAGCTCTGCTGTCAATCAATCAAGGTGTGCTAATACTGAAATATGTAAGTTCAGAATGCTCTGTCAATACCATGAAAAGGGTCGACTAGCCTCTGTAGACCTCAGAGAAAATACAATTCCCTAAAAAAAAAAAACCTATTGAAAAGACATCATTCCTAGATATTTTACGTTATGAGGAGCTCTGTCCCCAACGCCGTCAAACATTTTCCTGGGGATCTGATAGTCTTGTCTGCTGCCTCATATTCTGAAGTACTTTAGAGATATTAACACATGCCATACAGGAATTATTATCTCCATCTATTTTTCTTTACATTTACTTATATGTGCTTACTGTCAGAAAAGTAGAAGCAACTTGGTATTATTCAGTGTTCTAGCAGTTCATTAAAATAATTTCTTAAAAAGTCATGTTAAATAAACCCCACAGAGCTAGAAAAGGTACAGTAAGTATAAACATTTAAAATGAAATCTGCAAGTTTTAGGTTTCCTCTATCAGTGTTCATTCCGAGCGGGAAACAAGGTCATGCTGGGAGGCTCCACTTTGCTCTTGGGCAGTCATGGTGAGGTGCTGAGGGTCCCCTGCCTCCTGGAGCACAGACAACTTCTCATATGTAATATGCAAACCCAGTCACCATAGAGGTGACATGAAGGTGCTTGGAATTAGGGGCTTTAGTATGGAAGAAAAATACTTGGACAGTAAACTTGAAGAACTCAAGATTTTGGCAATTTTATTTTTGCCTGCTGAGGACAGAGCCCCAGCTTTTTGTACATGCTACCTAAACACTCTACCACTGCACCACATCTCCAGGCATAGCAAATTTAATAAAAATTAATAAAAGAAGCAGTTTTGATTTTCATTTACTTTGAGGTGATTCTAAAGTATAGTACTAGTTTAAGAAAACACCCAAGAAGGGTGCCTGTTGTATGGTCCTTACAAACGTGGGCATGGAGGGCTATGTTTTGAGAAATCTGCTTCTGTTGTGATGTAAATATTTTCCATATTGACTCAGTTTGTTATAAACCACATGATAAGTCTTATCATTTGCAAGAGGTAACTCCAAACTCAGTGGGAGCATTCTTACCTCTCACATCCTAAGGTCTTGATGGTGTTTCTACTCATTGAATTTATTCCATAAGGCAAAGGGAAACTCAGAGGAATGGCCATACAGGTCAGTCAGGATGCTCCCAAGAGGCCTAGCTGTGTGAGCAGGTGCCGCACCTGGGAGAAGACCAGCCTTCAGGAGGATGTACGGTGGTTTTAACCAGTCACTTCACTAGTCCACCCAAATGACTACACGGAACAGAACTTTATAGGTATTTGTTTGTTTGTTTTTTGGTATTACTGTAAGTAACAGTTCTAAGCACAAGTGGGAATGCAAGAGATGCAATGCCTAAGAGATTAAGGACAGTTTGTTGGGCAGGGCACTCGCTTGAATCCCCTCACTCAGGAGGCAGAGGTAGCTGGATCTCTGTGAGTTCCAGGTCAGTCTGATCTAAAGTGGAATTCCAAGGACAGCCAGGGCTACACAGGGATATTCTGTTTTACAAACGAAAAACAAACAACAGAACCATTTAAGTATCAGTCCTTATTAAGTGCTACAGGAATATTGCTTCATATCTGTACGGGTGAATGAAGATTCAACAGAAGAAATACGACTAGGTAAGAATGCTTGGAAGGTTGGTCTCACGCAGCCTGGTGTGGTAAAATCCCTGTGTTGTCAAGGGGAAAAGGGCAAGAATGTAATCTTTGATTCTGTTCCCACGTATAAACCAAGAAGCCGTACTGGATGACTCAATTGTACAGCATACTAGCTTAGAATCTTCCTGGTGCTGTTTCAGGACGGTGGCCCTATGGGAAAAGGGAACAATAAAAGCCTGAAATGGACCATTTATAGCTCCTGGATGTTTCCCATAGTAGATTCGTGTCTCTAGAATACTTATTTTAGGTAAACAAATCTCTGGTTCACCCAGGCCATCTGGAGCCCTAAGCCCTCCCTTCCCTTCCCATTCCCAGGAGCTGCTCCTCCTTGGCTGAGCGGTGTCTGTTACAGGGAGTTAGGTCCCTCATCTATTAGCTTCTTTTCCTCTATAAATAAGGGAACGGCGCTGTTGGCAGGAGCCCAGGACCCTCAGGGGCTGCAGCCCCGCTCTTCGGCTACAAAGGGGAATAGACCCGGGGCTCTGCTGAGGCAGTTTTGCTAACAGGGTATCAGCGCCTAATTAGAGGTCTCTGACTTAACAGAAGATGAAGACTTATGTAATTGCTAACATATTTATTCAGCGGCAGGGCCTGAACTGCCCTGAGCCAATCGCTTTACATTTCCCTGAACACCCAGAAAGGTTCCTCTCTTTCTCCCAGCTTCTGTTATTTGCATTATCATGGTCAACAAATACTTTCACAAAAGCATTCCAATCACACAGAGACCTCCCCTTCTTCCACATTCCTTCCATTTCCTGAGGGGGGCGGGGCAGGCGGAGAGGGTGGCTGGAACCTAACAAAGACAGGGCTGGTGGTCTAACTCTGGTTACAGACTTTAGATGGCCAAGTAAAGTGCCGAGTCACACTGGTTTTTGCAGTTATTATGACTAAACGGCTAATACTGAAATTCATTATCTCCACGGTGCTCTCAAATAACAGTAATAAAAATTCCAAGAACGAAGCTACTTCAGGCTAATCTTTCCAAAGTAAAGTAAAGAAGCTATAATCCCACACTTAAACACACTTCTCAGGACTTTCGTGTTTTCTTTCCGATGAGCCAAGCCCTTGGGACCTGGCATTGCTGTCTGTATGTGTGTGCCTGTGTTCGGAGACAGAGCCTCACTTTGTAGTCCTGTCTGGCCTGCAACTCAGAAAGATCTATCTGCCTCGGCCTCCCCAGTGCTGGGATTAAAGGTGTGTGCCACCTTTTAATCTGCTGGAGTCTGGTATTTAAAATACTTTAACATTTCCCCAAACTGGAGAAGTGACTCATAATTCAAACGTATTGAATGGTTTATAACCCAAAGGTAGATGAGGACTCTTGTACAATATGTAAAGCTGTGTACATTCACCACACACAGGACGGAACTCCAGGAAGGACGGCTGCTTCACAACGATGCATTATGGGTTCCTTTGTGATTGATCCCTGGAGGGTTGCGCTACGGACACATTTACTGGCTTCTTCCTGACTAGCACCGCTCTCCCACCCCCGACATTTTTAAGCTACTTATTTTAAGTCACAGGAATATTCAATCTAAGAAAAGTATCTTATTAGAGTAATATAATTTCTTAAAGATAGCATATTTACACACATCTAACACATGAAAATACTCTGTTTTATACTAAATTTCAGGTTCAAATGAACTACAATACAGCACTTTGCCTCGTGTGCAGAGTGGAGATTGTTCAAACTGGGCTTCTACTGCACAGCACCGCCCAGGCAGTGCTCACTGTGGTCAGACCAGTCCAGAGGTCCCAGAGCTGGGGAGGGTTCAGGAGCCAGCGCAGGATGAAGAGTTTCTGTCAGCCGGTTACACGTCTACTCCTTTGATTAGAGATCCTTCCAAGACTATGGTGAAGTCCTGAATAGTCTGTAGAATTCGGATAAGGGAGTTGACAGTCATGTGGTCTCGGAGAAGTGCGCTCTCCTCATACATTCGGGTGATGGCGGGACACTCCGCTAGCAATGGAATCCACTGTGGGAGCAGGTGATCCCTGCAGATCAAACAGAAACAGCGTCTGAGCGCCCTCCTGTCTTTCCCTTTAATTATCAGCCAATTGAAACAACAACACTACAATAAATTAAGAGTTCTCCTAGGAGCAGCTGTGGTGACTATGCCTGTTTAGTTCAAGCACTTGGGAAGCAGATGCAGGCAGATCTCTGAGTTTGAGGCCAGCCTAGTCTATATAATGAGTTACAGGCTAGCCACAGCTACATAGTGAAACCCTGTCTTAAAATAAAATAAAATAAAATAAAATAAAATAAAATAAAAGTTCCCCAAGGGGGCTGGAGAGATGGCTCAGTGGTTAAGAGCATTGCCTGCTCTTCCAAAGGTCATGAATTCAATTCCCGGCAACCACATGGTGGCTCACAACCATCTGTAATGAGGTCTGCTGCCCTCTTCTGGTCTGCAGACATACAGACAGAATATTGTATACTGTATACATAATAAATAAATAAATATTTAAAAAAAAAAAAGTTCCCCAAGGAATCTTCTCCTGGGAGGAGGCTGAAGTCTTGGGTGTAGTCAGAGGAAGAACTCACTCACAACAAATACAAACAAAAAAAAAAAGGCAAGTTGTCAGGTGACCTTGTAGGAGAGACTTGGCTCCTGACAATGATGGGTGGAATCACACCTTGGTAGGACTACTTTGTAGTTATGATCTCTTATCTCTTATTCAATCCTTTTCCTTAAGTCAGAGCCCTAAGATGGACTAGGAGAATATATTTCTGTCTCTCTTCCTAATGTGGCTATATTGAATAAATAACCCTTTTTCTGCTTTTCATTACGTTTGTGAGCCTGTGTGGGTTTGTGCCGTGTGCACACAATGCCTATGGAGGCCAGAAGCGGTGGCCACACCCTCTGGATCAGGGTTAGTGCTTATTTGTTGCTGGATGTGGGTGCTGGGAACTGAACTAGGGTGTTCTGAACTTCCAGAGCTGAGTCATCTCCCAGACCCTGATTTCACTATTAATTTGGCTTTTACTTGGTTTAACCAAGTAGCTGAACCTGGCTTGTAGCACAAGCTGTGACTCACAGGTCAGGCAAGAACAAAAATCAATGTACACACATTAGTATTTTCAATTAGCAGGGAAGGAGTTAGATGGTGACCACTCTGGCCAAATTCTGTGCTAATGTTGGCGCGCTTAGGGAATGAGTTTACATATTGGCCACACCCTGTTCCCCACCCTCCTGCCTGTCCAGGAATCAGGGTGCCCAGCTGCAGGCTTGTAATGAAAAAACTTGTCCATTCTCAGAAAGACGTAGGAATAGAACATACTTCCATCATCTGGGCTGATTCCCCTCCTCAGAGACCCTGCCATGCTGTCTGCACACGCAAGGGCCTGACCATGTAAATGTTAGGTCTCACTCCGTGCCCACGGCTCCTCCCAGCACTTCTCCCCCTGCCCTTCCCTAAACCTCTCCATCTCAGGGGCTTTGCTTCCCTTCCCCCAGCCGCATCTCCCATAACTCAGCCACCTCTCTTGATCACAGGGTCCTCTTGCACTCTCTCCCTATGGTCCAGTTTAGTCTGTTGGCCATGTTCAGCCTGGACTCTTGCCTCTGCCTGCTTTCTCCCCGACACCTACAGTAAAAATCTCCATACTTTAGGAGTCATATCATCCTTTTATTTCATTTTTGTTGTTGTTTTTGTTTTTCTGAGACAGGGTTTCTCTGTAGCTTTGGGGCCTGTCCTGGAACTACCTCCTGTAGACCAGGCTGGTCTTGAACTCACAGAAATCCACCTGCCTCTGCCTCCCGAATGCTGGGATTAAAGGCATGCACCACCACCACCTGGCTCTTTTTATTTCATTTCTTTGTTTACTTAATAACTTTGCCAATTAACTCAGCATCCCTTGCTGGGATCTATCTCAGTGTCCCTCTCAAAACCTCCTGTATAAGTGCTGGCTGGGAAAGCTTTCTCTTAGCTCTCCTTATTTAGTTCATTCTAGCACCAAATTTACCCAGAGATTTGGGGTGGTGGTGAGAGAAATAATAAGTGAGTTAAGGGCAGACATTCATGACTTCAAAGTTAAATAGTTTATCTCCTTTAATCTCCCCCCACCCCCAGGATTTCTTTATGTAGCCCTGGCTGTCTTGGAACTCACTCTGTAGACCATATTGGCCTTAAACTGACAGAGATCCTCCTGCCTCTGCCTCCTGAGTGTGGGGATTAAAGATGTTCACCACCACCACCACCTGGTTTCTTTTGATTTTTTTTTTTTTTTTTTTTTTTTTGGTTTTTCGAGACAGGGTTTCTCTGTGGTTTTGGAGCCTCTCCTGGAACTAGCTCTTGTAGACCAGGCTGGTCTCGAACTCACAGTGATCCGCCTGCCTCTGCCTCCCGAGTGCTGGGATTAAAGGCGTGTGCCACCACCGCCCGGCTGTTTTTTTTTTTTTTTTTTTTTAAAGATTTATTTATTTATTTTGTTTACAGTGTTCTGTCTGCATGTGTGCCTGCAGACCAGAAGAGGGCACCAGATTTCTTTACAGATGGTTGTGAGCCACCATGTGGTTGCTGGGAATTGAACTCAGGACCTCTGGAAGAGCAGTCAGTGCTCTCAACCGCTGAGCCATCTCTCCAGCCCTCTTTTAATGTTTTTTATATTACTCCTATTATTATAAATATTTTTAGTGGTGCTAGGGGTAGAAACCCAGGGTCTTGTGCACTTTAGGCAAACACTCTGGCACTGGTTTACATTTCAAGATTGTTTGCTTAAAAAATAAAATATCAGAGCCGGGCAGTGGTGGTGCATTTGGGAGGCAGAGACAGGGGAATCCCTGTGAGTTCAAGATCAGCCTGGTCTACAAGAGCAAGTTCCAGAATAGACTCCAAAACTACAGAGAAACCCTGTCTCAAAAAAAATAAACAAATAAATAAAATATCATGGCTCATTGGGTAAAGGTGCTTGTTGCCAAGTTTGATTACTTGAGTTTGAAACTTGGTTCCCATATGGATTCTCAAAAATTGTGTTCTGACTTCCATTTAGATTCCTGCCATATCTGGGGCTGGAGAGATGGCTCAGTGGATAAGAGCACTGCTTGCTCTTCCAAAGGTCCTGAGTTCAATTCCCAGCAACCACATGGTGGCTCACAACCATCTATAATGGAGTCTGGTGCCCTCTTCTGGCCTGCAGGCATACAGACAGAACATTGTATACATAATAAAATAAATATTTTAAAAAAGTGGGGGAGGGGGCTGGAGAGATGGCTCAGAGGTTAAGAGCATTGCCTGCTCTTCCAAAGGTCCTGAGTTCAATTCCCAGCAATCACATGGTGGCTCACAACCATCTGTAATGAGGTCTGGTGCCCTCTTCTGGCCTGCAGGCATACACACAGATAGAATACTGTATAAATAATGAATAAATAAATATTAAAAAAAAAAGATTCCTGACATATCCCCAACCCCACGCCCCTAGACACACACACAGAGAAATAAACAAATGTGGTGGTGGCACACGCCATTAAACCCAGCATCCGGAGGCAGAGGCAAGCAGATCTCTGAGTTTGAGGCCAGCCTGGCCTACAAAGCAAGTTCCAGGACAGCCAGGACTACACAGAGAAACCCTGTCTCAAAAAACAAATAAAAAAAGAATTCCAGCACAATTAACAACCACTTAAAGCTTTTTTCTTTTTTCTAGTTGTAAACCTACAATATCCTACTATTCCAGGAATCTGGCCAGAAGCCCTATTTATAGGGAAGAGGCATATTCTAAACCCCTTATATCCAGTGGCTCTGGATTTTACCTACAGACTATAATTCCATCTAAGGCATCTCCAGAGCCACCCTATAATCTTAGCTTTATCAAAAGACAGAAAAATGGGGGCAGGGAGTAGTTTCTGAGACACTTTTTGAGATGTAATTTGAGACCCACCAAAATGCTAAAATATTATTTGAAGAGTTTCCTTGAGAAGCCTGGAGCCTGTACTCATCCTGGGCACACCTTACTCCTTACTATACAGCTACAGTTCTCCCTTGAGGAGCCCAGACTGCACACTCAGGTATTTCTTCCACTTCTTTACTTAGGTGTGTCTCTTTCTCCTAAACCTTGCGTCTAACATCTATATTAAGATATCTTGTTTTAATAACAAACAAAACAAAACAAAACAAAAGAGCTTGTGGTGGTGGCGGCGGCACACACCTGTAATCCCAGCACTCAGGGAGGCAGAGGCAGGTGAATTTCTGTGAGTTCAAGGCCAGCCTGATCTACAAGAGCTAGTTCCAGGACAGGCTCCAAAGCTACAGAGAAATCCTGTCTTGAAAACAAACAAACAAACAAAAAAAAAAAACTACAACAACAAAACAAAACAAAGCTATCTTGTTTTAAAAATGCTTTTTTTTTTTAAAAAAAAATTATTTTAAGCAAAGCATGGTGGCAAATGCATTTAATCCCAGCACTCAGGAGGCAGAGGCAGGCGAATCTCTGTGAGTTCGAGGCCAGCTTAGTCTACAGAGCAAGTTCCAGGACAGCTAGGGCTGTTACACAGAGAAACCCTGTCTTGAAAAACAAAAAGCAAAAGAGAAAACAAAAACAAACAAAAAAACCCCAAAACAAAAGAACAAAACAAAAAAAGTATTTTAATTTTTCCTGAATCTATTTATTCATCCCCCCCCCCCTTTCCACCCAGTGCTAGGGACCGAACCTATGTCCTTTTGCACATTGGTCGGGGGTTCTACCACTAAGCTCCACCCACCCCCAGCCCTTTTTCCGTATTTTGAGGCAGTGTCTCACGAATTCCCTAGTCTGCTCTTGAACTTGCTCTGTGGCCAAAGCAATGCCTAAACTTGTGGTTTGTCTGTCTTTGCCTCCTGAAGAGCTGGTATTACAGAGCAGTGCCATGAGGAATGACTACTTTGTTACTATGTGATTTTGGGATAGTTTGCTAATGTATTTGGGTCTCATCTATTTCCTATTTTCTCACTTATAAAACAGGTAGATGGGGGCTGGAAACATAGCTCAGTGTTAAATAGTACTTGCTGCTTTTGCAGAGAATCTAGGTTCAGCTTCCAGGACCCACGTGGTACTCACAACTGACTCCAGTGCTCTCCTCTGGTTTCTACAGGCACCAACCACTTAGCTCATATACATATGCAGGCAAAAGAACACACATGTATTGATTTTTGGTTTTTAGAGACAAGACTTCTCTCTGGCTGTCCTGGAATTTGATTTGCAGACAAGGCTGGCCTTGAACTCAAAGGTCTTCCCTTCTTTGTTTCCTGAGTGCTGGGATTAATGGTGTGAGCCACCACACCTGGCAAGGAAACCATTTACACACAAAATAAAAATACAGAAATCTTTTTAAGAAATGGGTATATCAGTTGCTATTGTAACACAAAGTTAATGAGAAAACAGCGGTCTCATAATAAAAGTTGGAAAGAAGAAATCCAAGAAAAATGGGCATAACCCGGTATAACTTTCCTAGACTCACGCTACCCACATACAGAAATAAGAAAAGCCTAACTCTGACTCTGTACCTTGTTCCAAGGCAAACTAGGATCTGGAATTTGCCGTCCTTCCCGATGCTCCTGGGTGCAGTATTTATAGCATTCACATAGTGGCAGAAGGTTTTGCAAGATGATTTCTGAATGAGTACATCATCTTCATTGTCTAAAATCTGGTCAGTAGTTTCAAAATAAGCCACTGCTTTCTCTGAGGAAGACAAGCAGAATCACACCACATTACAACAGTTGTATACAGAAATGTCAACACTCTATATGTAGTAAAAATCATCTGATTTACTCTGGAAACTCTACTGAGGCTTGGCACCATTGTTAGCCCTCTAATCCACTGACTTCAGAATGAATCGCAGAGATCTGTGGTTCGTGACATAACACTGATTCAGTGCCGGGACCTAAAGGAGCCTGGTGGAGCACTGACTAAATCAGCGAACAGAGATGCAGTAAGCAGACATCAGAGCCAGGAGAAATAAAATAAATTCTAAGCTTTCCAGAAAGCGGGGAAACAAATCACACTTAGCTGTCTTGTCAATTTTCCTTTCTTTGCTTAAAAGTTCTGAGTTCACGTAGGCCTGCTTTACAAACACAATACGGCTCACTGAACCTTTAAAGAAACTGGGAGCTAAAATTCTTCATAACTAAAGAAAAAAATCACAAAACTTAGGATGCTTTTAAAAAGATTTATTTATCTTTATTTTACATGTATGGGAGATTTGCCTGTCTGCCTGCCTGCCTGTCTGTGTACCATGGGAATACAGTACCTTCAGAAGCCAGTGAAGGGCATTAGATCCTTGGAACCACAGTTAAGGAGGGTTGTATGCCATCATGTGGATGCTGGGAACCGAACCCAGGTCCTCTGGAAGAGCAGCAAGTGCTCTTAACTGCTGAGTCATCTCCCCAGACCCCTCCTTTATTTTATTAAATACTTATTTTATGTGTGTGTGAGGCACCTTGTGGTAGTCAGTTCTCTCTTTACACCTTGTAGGGCCTGGGATCAGACTCAATTCTTCTACTCGTTGAGCCCTCATTACTCTAAAAACATACGAGTGTATACTGCTTTTTATTTATTTAAAGTGTTAGCTTTTGGGGGTTTTTAAAGAAACATTTCAATGGCTTTATAATAGCGAACTTCTACTTAATTTACCTACGAAGTCCCAGATGAAGACATTCTTGTGAAAGATGCGGGCAGATTTGAACCCATGATGGAAAACTTGTTCCAGTGCAGCAACCAGGCCATTTTCTCCACACAGCAGCACCGTGAGGCTTCCTCTCTGTAAACCATAAGGTTAACACAGTGACAAAACAAAAATAGAAACAACACTAGAGGGGCTGGACAGATGGCTCAGAGGTAAAGAGCTGGCTGCTCTTTCAGGACTGGGGTTCAGGTCCCAGCACCACATTACAGCTCACAACTACCCTTAACTATAGCTCCAGGGGAATCACTGTTCGTTTCTGTCTTTCCAGGAATCAGGCACGTATGTAGCACACAGACATACATGCAAGCAAAGAACTTATATCTAAGAAATAAAGTAACCCCCACCCCACCCCAAACAATGACCACACTAGAGAAACAAGAGCTGAGTGAGGTAGCCAGGCGGGGTAGTGCATGACTTTAATCCAGCACTCGCAGGCGGATCTCTGTGAGTTCGAGACCAGCCTGGTCTACAAGAGCTAGTTCCAGGACAGGCTCCAAAGCTACAGAGAAACCCTGTCTTGAAAAACCAAAAAAAAAAAAAAAAAAAAAAAAAAAAAAAAAAAAAATCCAGCACTCACGAGCAGAGACAGGCAGAGTGAGGCCAGTTGGTCTGTATAAAGAGAGCTACAGGAGAGCCAGGGCTACACAAAGAAACTGTCTCAAACAAAACAAAACAAACAAAAGGGTCTACCCATAGGAACATAACAGTTTCACTGCCCCCATAATACCTCCTTTTCAGGTTTGTGGAAGTGCTTCACGATGTTGTTCACAGCTTCTCCAATCCCTTCCTGGATCTGTCCAGCATTGGGCTCTGCAAAACAATCAATATTGTCAACATTTAAAAAATGATTTATTTATTATGTATACAGTGATCTGTATACATATATATGCATGCATGTATATGTGTGTATGTATATATATGTCCTATTGTTTACATTCTTTTTTTTAAAAATATTTATTTATTTATTATGTATACAATATTCTGTCTGTATGCCTGAAGGCCAGATGAGGGCGCCAGACGTCTTTACAGATGGTTGTGAGCCACCATGTGGTTGCTGGGAATTGAACTCAGGACCTTTGGAAGAGCAGTCAATGCTCTTAACCACTGAGCCATCTCTCCAGCCCCTATTGTTTACATTCTTGTCAGAAATAAATAAACCAGCCGGTGGTGGTGGGAGGCAGAGGCAGGTGGATCTCTGTGAGTTCGAGGCCAGCCTGGTCTACATAGGGAGTTCCAGGACAGGCTCCAAAGCTACAGAGAAACCCTGTCTCGAAAAAACCAAAAAAAAAAAAAAAAAAAAAAAGAAAAAAATAAACCAAAATACTATGGGATGATCAACTGTAAGTCTCTGTAGGAAAAACTCCATCTTAAGCAAGCTAGCTTTTCCAGAGACTCAATGCAGTTTGCCAATGGACAAAATGGCCAAGTCCAAGGGTTTGATGCACTTGAAAGGAATCCAAGAAATCCTCAAACCCCAGCCACACTACCTACAAACTATAACTCAAGTCAAGTTGGTGCGGGACAATTAATTGTCTGTATTCTGTCAATTACGTTTTAAATAAATGCTGACTGGTCAATAGCCAGGCAGGAAGTATAGGTGGGACAACCAGACAGGAAGTAGAGGCAGGTCAATGAGAACAGGAGAATTCTGGGAAGGAGAAAGCCCATTACTTCCCAGTCCTGCCCAGACACAAGGCAGAAGATAGGAAGATGTGACCTGCCCTGCTGGAAAAGGTACTGAGCCATGTGGCTAACACAGATAAGAATAATGGGCTAATATAAGTTATAAGAGTTAATAAAAAGCCTGAGCTAATGGGCCAATCAGTTTATCATTAATATAGACCTCTGTGTGATATGGCTGAGGGACCTGGTGGGAGAACAGAAATCAGGCAGGTTAGAAACTCCACCAACATCAAATGTCTAATTTTCTCTGGTTTTTCTCAATTGAAAATAACTTAAAAACAAAACAAAACAACCTAACAGCCGGGTGGTGGTGGCGCACGCCTTTAATCCCAGCACTCGGGAGGCAGAGGCAGGCGGATCTCTGTGAGTTCGAGACCAGCCTGGTCTACAAGAGCTAGTTCCAGGACAGGCTCCAAAACCACAGAGAAACCCTGTCTCGAAAAACCAAAAAAAACAAAACAAAACAAAACAAAACAAAACAAAAAAACAACCTAACAAACTAACAAACACTCCTCCCTGAGAAAACAGGACAAGATATTCAATGCAATCACCTGGCACCTATCGTGAAGCGCCAACAACTCTCTAGACGTGAGGGGTGGAGTGGGAAGACCCCTTCATCATTCGTCATTACTCAGAGGTTCCCTGCCAAGAATCTTGTGGGTGTGTGCTAAGACAGCTGAGGCTCTCAATGACCCACGTGAAGTTCTGCTGCTGTGGTTTAAGGGAAGAGGCCAGGTGATGCCCTGGCTAGAGGTTAGGCTTTCTTCTCTTCCTGACTGGTCACTCTCCTTGCTCCATTTTACCCATGAGCACTTGTTCATCTAAGCCTCTTTCTAGACAGCTTGGAAGGCCGCCGGAATGGGACCTGAATCACTGTGGTGGTTAGAATGACTCCCATAGGCTCATATATTTGAATACTTGGTCCCAAGTTGGTGGAACTATTTAGGAAGGATTAGGAGGAGTGGCCTCGTTAAAGGAGTATGTATGTCACTGGTGGTGTGCTTTGAGGTTTCAAAAGCCCCCATCTCTGCCTCAAGACTGCAGTTCAAAGTAAAAGCTTTCATGTACTGCTTCAGAGCCTCACCTACCTGCCTGCCGCCATGCTTCCCGCCAGACTGTCATGGACTTACCCTCTGAAACTAGCAACCCAAATTAAATGCTTTCCTTTAGAATTTGCCTTGGTCATGATGTTTTAATCACAGCAACAGAAAAGTAACTAAGATAAAACAACCCTGCATACCACATACTAAAACTAATCATTTATTTTTAGGGTCTTATGTAGCTCCAGCTGCTATCAAACTCACTATGAATTTGAGGATGTGGATGGCTTTGTACTTCTGATCCTCTTACTTTGACATTTTGAACAGTGGAATTATTAACTGGAGTCACCATGCCTGGTTTATGTGATGCTGAGAACTGAACCAAGCACTTCCTTCTTGTTAGACAAGCCATCTCAAGAGAGGTATGACATCCATGTCATGGTTTGGAGCAGAATGGCCTCCACAGCCTCATATATTTGATTTTTTTTTTTTTGGTTTTTTGAGACAGGGTTTCTCTGTGGTTTTGGAGCCTGTCCTGGAACTAGCTCTTGTAGACCAGGCTGGTCTCGAACTCACAGAGATCCTCCTGCCTCTGCCTCCCGAGTGCTGGGATTAAAGGCATGTGCCACCACTGGGCGGCCAGCCTCATATATTTGAATGCTGCATGTCTGGTTCCCAGTGGTAGACTGTTTATGAAGGAGTAGGAGGTATGTCAATGAGGATGGGCTTTGAGGTTTCACAGATTTGTTTATTTGTATATATGGGTGTTTTGTCTGCATGTACAACATCTGCACACCAGAAGAGGGCGTCAGATCCCACAGGATTACAGTTATAACTGGTTGTGAGCCACCATGTGAGGACTGGGAATTAAACTCTTAACCATGGAGCCATCTTTCCAGCCCCATGGGGTTTTTTTTTTTTCTGTCCTCATCTTGTGAATCAAATGTGAGCCCCAGCACCACTGCCAGACGGTCACCATAGTAACTGTGGACTAATCCTCTGACACTGTAGGCAAAGTCCCAATTAAATGCCTTTCTTTCTTTCTTTCTTTCTTTCTTTCTTTCTTTCTTTCTTTCTCTCTTCTCTTCCCTTCCCTCCTGTCTGTCTTTTTTTGAGACAAAGTTTCTCTATGTAGCCTCGGCTATCCTGGAACTTACTATGTAGACCAGGCTGGCCTTGAACTCCTGAATGCTGGGATTGAAGGGATATGCCACCACAGCCTGGCTTAAATCTTGCTTAGGTCATGGTGTTTTGCCATAGCAATAGAGCAAGCAGTAACTAAGACAATCCTTGATTCCAAGAATAGTTTTAAAATAAAAAAGGTAAGCAAATTTTATCTAGAGTCAGAAGTAGAGATAAGCAATAAGAGAAAAATGGGGTGTGTGTGGGCAGAGGTAGGCAATTCTTTGTGAGTTCAAGGACAGCCTGGTCTACTTAGTGAGTTCCAGACCACATAGGAATACAGAGTGAGGCCCTGCCAAAAAAATAAAAAAACAAAAAAGGTGTGTATATATGTAGCTTGCAGCTCCAGGGGATTCACTGCCCTCTTCTGGCCTTCAAGGGCACCCCCACCCCAGCCCCACAGATAAAATAAATCTTAAAAGGGGAAAGGAAGCTGCTTAGTTCTACAGCAAATGCTTAGCACACAAAGCCTTTCTTTCATAGAGATCACGCGATATGATAGTCTCTTAGGCAAGGCGTGGTAGGCCACACCTTTAATCCCAGCATTTGGGACAGAAGCAGGTGCCTCTCTGTAAACTCAAGGTCAGTGCGGGGTGTGAGTGTGTGTGTGTGTGTGTGTTGGGATGGGGGTGGTGGTGGTGGTGTGTGAGATGGGGTGAGAGGATGCATGCATGCACACACATGCATGCTCTTGCACACGTGAAGGTATTGGGTATCTTCCTTTAACAATCTCCACCTTATATTTTGAGACAGGGTCTCTCACTGATCTCAGAGCTCTCAGGCTGTGTTGTGTTAGGCATTAGATCTCTGGTTACAGGGTTCCTCTGTCGCCGATGCAATAAGCCAAATCAAACATGAATTAATAAACCCAGATTTAATAAACAGGGCAATGCAAAGCAGAGCAGCCCTGTGTTACTCTTAGAAGTGCAAGAAAGAGACCACAAGGCAGATCTATGGGCTGGGCCTTAAACAGCCAGTAGGCGGTCTTGAGCAGTTCCAGGGGAGCAGCTGCCAATGGCAGGCTTTCCCAGGGGCGGGGTCTGGGATAGGAGGAGTGGGTGCTGGCCTGTGAGATACTTGACTCAAGACCATCTATCTTACTTGTCTACTTATTTACATTTTTTCTCCCCAAACAACTCCTTGAATCTTGCATTTTAAAATTTATTTTTATTACTTTAGTTATGTGTATGTATGTAGTTGGGGTCAGGTGTGTGCATACGAGTGCATTCTGCCTGTAGAGGCCAGAGGTGGTTGTGTGCTGCCTGATGTCTCTGGAAGAGCGGTATGCTCTCCACTGCGGAGCATCTCTTCGGTCCCCTATTTACCTTACATTTCTGAGACAGGGTCTCTCACGGAACCTGGTGCTCATCAGTCTGGCTAGGCCGGCTGGTCAATGAGTTCTACACCTCCCACACTGGGAATCGAACTCAGATTCTTATGCTTGGGAAGAAAGCATTTCACCTTCCGAGTCACTCCCCAGCCCCTTGTTTTTAAAACCCCTCATCATAATTCATCAACACAACTGGAAGATGGGCCACAGAAGCCTACAACACCCGAGGCACACTGGAGACAACTCACTGGCAGGCTTCCCCGTTAGGGAAGTAATACTGAGTCTCCTGGTTGTCGTGGGAGACTTCTGCTGTGGTGGAGTCCGACACTGCTTTCCCAGGTCTTCATCTGAAGCCGATGTCATCAATTCTCCAATAAGAATTCTCTCCAAACTTCCATCATCAATGCCTTTCCCCAGCCACCGCCCACATGGGAATCTGATAGGGTAGGGGAAAAACATCTTTTGAATCTACTTTTGTTGTTGTTGTGAATTTACTCCAGTCTCCAGAGATCCCATGAATCTCCATTTTTAAAACTAGATTTTAGTTTTCTTTTCATTTTGAGATAGGAGTCTTACTATGTTGCTAAGGCTATCCTAAAATTTACTATGTGAAGGCTATCAGGCTGGTTCCTACCTCCAGGCAATCTTCTGTTTTAGTTTCTAGAATACTGGGATTACAGGTGTTTCTGACATGACTGGCTTCTACTAGTTTTAATTAAAGGTTTAAAAATGGCATTGTAAGTAGCACAAATAATAAAAACCCAGAGGCAGATACTGGGGTTCAAGCTGAAGATCAGAAAAGCAAAGCAGGAAGGCAGTGGTGGCACACACCTTTAATCCCGGCACTTGGGAGGCAGAGGCTGGGGATCTCTGTGAGTTTGAGGCTAGCCTGGTCTACAAAAGCTAGCTCCAACAGAAACTCTGTCTCAAAAAACCAACCAAAAAAACCAAACAACCAAACAAACACCCCCCCCCAACCAACAACAACAACAAATCAAAGCAGCCATGCCACCAGAGAGTTCTCACCTCTACCAAGGCTCAGACACACTGAGGTGATCCTGTCCTCAGAATGACTGCAGTGCTCTCCACCAAGCTCAGACTGCAGACTGAGCCCTCAGCTCCTGTCTCCTCCCATCTCTCTAGTGCTGGGATTAAAGGTGAGCACCACCACTGCCTGGCTTCCAAGGTAACCAGTGCAAGGTAACCAGTGTGGCTGCTGGAATTAAAGGTGTGCACCACCACTGTCTGGCCTGGATGACTGACTAGTGTGGCTGCTTTGCACTCTGATCTTCTGGCAAGCTTTATTTATTAAAACACAAATAAAATATCACTATAACTGTAGGTGAAGTCCATGATGCTAATATGAAAACACCAAGTCCTCTTAACCATCAAGCTGTTTCTTCTGTAGCTTTCACAGTCCTGGGGCTGGACTCACAGGCAGTTGTGAGCTGCCTGAGATGGCTGCTGGGATCTGAACCTGGTTTACCTGCAAGAGTATCAGGTGCTCTTAACTGCTGGGCCATCTCCTCAGACCCAATCTTCGTTTAAAAAGAATTTTTGGCAACAGTATTAATTATTGTTATTATTATTTTCTCTCTATGTAGCCTTGGCTGTTCTGGAACTCGTTTTGGAGACCAGGGGCCTCAAACTTACAGAACTCTGCCTGTCTCTGCCTCTTCGGTGCTGGGATTTAAGATGTACTCTACCACACCTGGCCAATTTTAGGTTCTATAAATAGAACAAAATACTCCCCCCCGCCCCCCCAAAAAAAACAGGTTCAGGAGGTAGTGGCAATGCTTTAGGAAAATTTAAAACATTTAGCTACCTAAGAGCTCCGAGACAAAGATTCTGTTCCTCCTGAGTCCATTTACTCACCTGTATGTGTGTCCTGTGATTTCATTTCTGACCATGACGCAATCCACCAGCCATTTAGCTAACAGTCCGGAGTTATCGTGGCCGATCTGAGCGGTGGTGAGCTTCCCCAGGTTCTGGCACTGTAGAGACAGGACCACACATTATTCTGTACTCAAGTCTTTTCTACTCCCTTTCAGCGTTGGCAGCTGACTTTGGCTCTATCCAACACTCACAGAGACCTACCCTGTCCAATGTGCTAGGTTTAACACCATAGACAATCTCCGTGTATTCTTTGCTCCGGGGCCCTCATACAATGAGGCAGGGGTGGACACTGACTATGGTGTGAGGGCTTGAGGTGCTGGACTAGAGATGCAAACAACCCTTAGAAGAATACTGGAGATATAGCATTTGCTTCTACTGGAGAAACCCAGAAACAGAACCACTGATAAAGATTCACGCCTTGCCTGAAGGGCAAAGATTTCAGCAAGTAGGGAGGGGTCTTATTTAGATTGGCTTACAGCAAATAGCTCATTTAAAGAAACCACTAACTGATATTTGTACATTTTTAACAAGAGGACTAGGGGTATAGTTCAGCGGTAGAGAGCTTATCTAGCACGATCATCTCACCTACAAGGGATATTTTCTCCCAGTCTGTGCCTGAAGCTGCCCTAATAGCAAACCTACACATACTGTATTTCCCTATATGCACTGTGATGTGTCACAAATACCAGGTCTTTCCACGCTTTACGCTCTGGGTCCTTCTCTGCAACACTACTCTTAGGCTGTGGGGCCACTAATAAGTGAAGTAAAGGCTACAAAAACACAAGGCACTGCCACACCAAAATACTTAATCTGATAACCTAAATGCTCACTAAATGATGAATGGAAGGTTAGCACACACACACACAAACACACAGTCATGCTAGACAAAGGCAGAATTCAAGGCCGACACGGGAACAGCCTGTCACTGTGCTAATCATAACAGGGCACAATCAGAAAACTTCTAATGTGCACCGAGGGTGTAGCTTAGTGGTAGAATTCTTGCTGACCATGTGTAAGGTCCTGGGTTTGTTCCTTTGCAACAAAAACCAAGAATGTGTAAACAACTCTCACACTCAAAATCTTTAATTTTCTAATTTAATTTAACTTTATTTTAGAGATAGGGTTCCTGTGTGTAGCTTGGGAGCCTGTCCTGGAACTCGCTCTGTAGCCCAGGCTAGCCTTGAACTCACAAAAGATTCATCTGCCTCTGCCTTCTGAGTCCTGGGATTAAAGGCATGAACCACCACCACCCGGCTTTTGTTTTGCTTTTGAGACAGTTTCATTATGTAGCTGAGGATGGTTTTGAACTTGCAACAATTCTTCTGTTTCCATCTCCTGAGTGCTGGGACTCCAGGCATATGCCCCCATGCCTGGCCTTTTATTTTTATTATTTTGCTTTTTGAGACAGGAACTCATGTTACCCAGGCTAACCTCAAACCTGCTACTTAGCAGAGGATGGCCTTGAACTTCTGACCCTCCTGTGTCTGTTCTCAAGTGCCAAGGTTGCAGGAATACACCACAGTGCTCAGCTTCTATATTTCTGGACCACAACCGCAGAAAGTGAAATTATGAATGAACTGTAGGATAAATGTTCCTACATTTATGCTCTTTGTGGACAAGTAAAAAACAATGGTAATAGGAATTATAAAAAATGGACGCGAATTAAATTCTGACTGAAAAAATCTGATAACGAAAGGATCACAGCCGGAGGACATGCTGAACTGAATGAAACGTCAGAGCTCTAAGTTCTGAAGGAATTTGCCTTGTTTATCAATGGAAGGTGTCATGTGACCCAGCTGAGAGACATGCTGACAGTTTTTGTAAACCCTCAAGGTTTTAAACTTTTACATGCAAATAGATGTGAATCTGCCACATACATAAAGCCAAATGGACCGCTGGGCTATGGATTATGGTTCCAAGTAAAAAGGGCTCTTCCTAGACCCCAAGGAACGTAAGTGAACAGAAATTAATCAGTACTACTTCTTTCCTGAAGTGCAAACAGGTTATCAGGACCAACCCGAATACAGGCTCAAACATATGGAAATACCTTACTAGTGATACTCAAAACTGCAACATGAAAGTCATATTTACAGGGGCCGGCCGGGTGTTAGCGACACCGAGGCAGGCAGATCTCTGAGATCAAGGCCAGCCTGGTTCAGAGAATGAATTCCAGGACAGCCAGGGCTGTTACCCAGAAAAACCCTGTCTTGAAAAGCAAAGCAAAATAAAACAATATTCTTCTATAAATGCCACTGTGTGCTTCAAAAGCCATAAGCATAGACGTCAGTTCTCTGGGTCTGAGGAGAAACCAGGGAAAGCACTTATTTAATTACAGTTTCTGTTTGTCATGTTCTGTGTTAGGCACTGGGCATCAAGGAACAGGACCTGGTAAAGCCTACAACAAGTAGAAAAACGGGGATTAGCAATGAAACAAAAAGCAAACTAGTGTAAGCTGCTCCAGACAATTATAGGGACATAATAACAAAATGATCCTGTATGCTCGCATATTCCTTTATTTCATTTGCTCCACAAAAAAATGAAAAAACCAAACCAGAGTTCTTCTGTAGAAGTAAAAAGGTATTGGCTAACCTACCTCAAAAGTCATCTCAAGTAGGTTTTTTGGAATCTGCATTACTCCGGTGTCTCCAAGCTCTCCCGAAACACAGATCCACGGGTTTGATGTGATGATCGCATTGCTCAGCTTTTTAATTGGAATTATCACTGCTCTATAAGGAATCACTGAAAGAAAACCACGGAAGTGAAGTTAGAAAAAGTCACAATTACCCAGAACTAGTTGCATTTAAGATACATTTTGCTTTTTTATTGTTTTGATGTATGTTTTGGCTGCACGCATGTATGTACACCACATCTGTGTCTAGTGCCCTCAGAGGTAAAGCAGAGAGTCGGATCCCCCAGAACGGGAATTATGGTATTAGAGTTGTGAATACCATGTGGGTGTTCAGCAAGAACAAGTGCTCTTAGCCACTGGGTCATCTCCCTAACCCCTGATATTTGGTGTATTATGATTTTTTTTAAACAAATATATATAAAGATTTTATTTATTTATTGTCTGCATGTTTGCCTGCAGGCCAAAAGAGGGCACCAGATCTCATAGATGTTTGTGAGCAACCATATGGTTGCTAGGAATTGAACTCAGGACCTCTGGAAGAACGGGCAGTGCTCTTAACCGCTGAGCCATCTCTCCAGCCCTTATGACGAGCAGTGAGGTGCAGTAATTAAAGGCACTTGCCACCACGCCTGACAACCCGAGTTCACTCCTGGAATGCACATGGTGGATGGAGAGAACCAACCCCACAGAAAGACAGGATTAGGTTACTGAGGTGAGTCCTGTGCAGGAGGAGTCTGGGAGAGCCAGACATGTCACCATCCTGTCATAGACCTTGGCTAAATGTAAAGTACAGGGAAATTTGGAATTTAAAGCAGAAACCATAGGGAAGGCTGCTGACTGGGGGGGGGGGGGTCACCCACAGGCTCATACGTAGCTTTCTTACACAGCCAAGGACCTGTGCGGGGAACAGTCCCGCCCAGACTAGGCAGGGCCCTCCTATATCAGTGTACAATCAAGGGGGAAAAGAAAAAGAAAATGAAAAATATTGCTCACATACATGCCTACAGGCTAATATGATCTGGGTAATCCCTGAATTCAGACTCCCTTCTTAGGCTGGATGAAGCTGCCAGTCAAAGTGAAATAGGGCGCTCACCTCTTGGTGGACAAACCAGCCCAGCCCAGCAGCCCTCCAAGGTTTCACTTTAAGAATTTACCTGTTTGGAGTCGGGCAATGGTGGCGCACGCCTTTAATCCCAGCACTCGGGAGGCAGAGGCAGGCGGATCTCTGTGAGTTCGAGACCAGCCTGGTCTACAGAACTAGTTCCAGGACAGGCTCCAAAGCCACAGAGAAACCCTGTCGCGAAAAACCAAAAAAAAAAAAAAAAAAAAGAATTTACCTGTTTGGGTTTCTTGCCCTGACTTACCTCGGTGGCAGACTGTAACCTCTAACTGGAATAAGCTCTCTCTCCCCTAGTCTGCTTTTTTTTTTTTAAATATTTATTATGTACACAATATTCTGTCTGTGTGAATGCCTGCAGGCCAGAAGAGGGCACCAGACCCCATTACAGATGGTTGTGAGCCACCATGTGGTGGCTGGGAATTGAACTCAGGACCTTTGGTAGAGTAAGCAATGCTCTTAACCTCTGAGCCATCTCTCTAGCCCCCCTAGCTTTTGGTCACGGCATTTATCACAGCAGCAGAGAGGGCTGGGACCAGATTATCTCTTTACATATCCCAATGCTGCAGACAGAAGTTTCTCAGAAAAGGAGAAACCACTCATAAGAATATCTTAAGAGATTATTGCATCTTATTATAGTGTCTGTGACGTGCCTACGTGAATGCTGGTACATGTGTGTTACAGCTCATGTGTACATATAGGTTACAGGACAATTCTCAGAATTGGTTTTTTTTTTTTTTTTTTGGTTTTTCGCGACAGGGTTTCTCTGTGGCTTTGGAGCCTGTCCTGGAACTAGCTCTGTAGACCAGGCTGGTCTCGAACTCACAGAGATCCGCCTGCCTCTGCCTCCCGAGTGCTGGGATTAAAGGCATGCACCACCACCGCCCGGCTCAGAATTGGTTTCTTTCCATCTTTCTATGGGCTCCAGGGATTGAACTCAGGTCACTAGGATTGTATGGAAAGTGCCTTTTTCTGCTGAGATATCCTGCTAGTCCGTTTTTTGTTTTTTGCTTTGGGACTTGGTTTATATCCCATTCTGGCCTTGAAAATAGCTGAGGATGACCATGTTTTTAGTTGTCCTAAGTGACTTCTATTTTTCTTTTGAAATTTTAAAAAAAAACATTTATGTGCTGGGTGGTGGTGGTGCACGCCTTTAATCCCAGCACTTGGGAAGCAGAAGCAGGCAGATCTCTGTGAGTTTGAGGCCAGCCTGATCTACAGAGCAAGTTCCAGGACAGGCTTCAAATTTACAAAGAGAAACCCTGTGTGAAAAAAAACCCAACAAAACAAAACAATCCCCCTTAGCCCCCACAAACCCCTCTGTATGTGTGTGTGTGTGTGTGAGAGAGAGAGAGTGTGTGTGTGTGCGTGAGAGAGACAAAGAGTGTGCGTGTGAGAGACAGAGAGAGTGTGTGTGCGTGTGTGCGCGTGCACACACGTGTGCATGCCTGTACATGTCACCTTGGTGCACGTTTGGAGCTCAGAGGACAACCTTCTACCACGGGAACTAAACTCCAGTTGTCAGGCTTTGGGGCACACACCCTTACCCACTGAGCTATCTTGCTAGATCTCCCTTTTTTTGAGATAAAACTTTCCTGTGTAGGCTAGATCCGCCTTGAAGTTTTGATCTTCTTGCCTCAGCAGGGATTACAGGCGTGCACCACCATCGCCCGGCAAGAAGTTATTTTTTTTACCTCATACAAAGCAAGAATAGTATTTTGTTACTTATTTAAGTCTCTTGGATGTCCAAATATCAAAGGATTTGAACAAGTCAAATAATTTTACACTCTGAGGTACAGCATAGGTTATATCATGTGAAATGCCCTGGTTCTCCCCAAACCATCAACTGCTGCCAAACAAAGATGTTACCTGGAGTTGTCTAATGGTACACACTTGTAGCTCCAGCACTCCGGAGGCTGAGGCAGATGGGTCTCTGTGAGTTCAAGGTCAGCCTGGTCTATAAAGTTCTAGACAGCCAGCAAGGAAGTATACCAGTGTTAGCAAGTGTAAGTGGCATTTATTTTGCACTCTTTAAATTTTGTTGTTGGTTGTTTGTTTTAGCTTTTTTTTTTTTTGTTTTTTCGAGACAGGGTTTCTCTGTGGCTTTGGTTTCTGTCCTGGAACTAGCTCTTGTAGACCAGGCTGGCCTCGAACTCACAGAGATCCACCTGCCTCTGCCTCCCGAGTGCTGGGATTAAAGGCGTGCGCCACCACCGTCCGGCTGCAACTTAGATTCTTGTATGTGTACTAACTGAATGAACTGGAAATTATTAGGTTATTACTTATTAGACATTTTAAGTTGGCCCTCCTCAATTCCCTTTTTATTTATCTGCTTTTTCCAAAGACCAGAAATCAGAGCCTTCATAATTCCAGCCAGTGAAGTTTACTGAGATTTTGGAGAGATTATGCTTTTTTTTTAAGCCGCAGTTGTGGGGGGCAATGATTTGTCTCTTGTACTTGTTTAATAAAATGCTGATTGATCAGTAGCCAGTCAGGAAGTACAGGCGGGGCGACCAGGATAGGACAATTCTGGGAAGAGGAAAGATTCAGTTTACAGTCGTCACCCAGACACAGAGGATGCAGGTGTGACTGCCTCGCTGATGAAGGTACCAAGCCACGTGACAGCACAGACAAGAATAATGGGCTAATTTAAGATGTAAGAATTAGTTAATAAGAAAGCCTGAGCTACTAGGCCAACCAGTTTATAATTAATGTAGACCTCTGTGTGTTTCTTTGGGACTGAATGGCTGAGGGACGGAGCGGGACAGAAACCTCTGTCAGCACCACAGACTGCAGCTTTACGCATTTCTCTTTTGTCCTAGGTGACATTTTCTGTCACAGATTGGGTTTCGTGGGAAGCAGATGCCGAGTCAGAAATGAGCTCGCATGGAGCCTGTGAAGAGGAAGTCAAGACTGACAGTGAAATGTTGAGCTTTGCTTCACGAAGTCTCAACAAACAGTGAGCTGTGAGCCGGTCCTCTGATTAGGATGCACGTTGGACCTGGCAGGAAGATAACAGCCCAGCGTAGTTGTCCATCCCCCACTCCCCAGACAGGGTTTCTTTGTGTAGCCCTGGCTGTCCTGGAACTCGCTCTGGAGACTAGACCAGGCTGGCCTCGAATTCAGAGATCTGCCTGCCTCTGCCTCCTTAGTGCTGGGACCAAAGGTTATATCACCACTGCCTGGCTAGGGTAGTTTTGTTTTCAATGAGGCATTTGCATAGGCTGGCGGTAGAGGGCTAGGAGTCTCCTACATCCCTAAATGGAAATTGAGGTCACCAGTGTTCTCCACATACTACCATAGGTCACTTTTGAAAATATAAATATTTTTATTTCTTCTTTCTTTCCTTCTTCATCTTTTTTTTTTTTTTGAGACAGAGTTTCTCTGTAGCTTTGGAGCCTGTCCTGGAACTAGCTCTTGTAGACCAGGCTGGTCTCGAACTCACAGAGATCCGCCTGCCTCTGCCTCCCGAGTGCTGGGATTAAAGGCGTGCGCCATCACCACTGCCTGGCAAATACTTTTATTTCAAGAGGGACTTGAGAATTTCCCTACCCCTAAGTCAGGGTTTCTTTGTTTGTTTTTTGAGAAAGGGTTAGGATATATAGCCACACTCACTGGTTTTGAACTGGCAATTTTCTTGTTTCAACTTCTGAGTGTCGGGACTACAAGTATTTATCACATGCCTGCTCACCCGGAAACTGATCACGTAAAAGTCACTTCTCCATACTCACTGATCGTGGTGAACACACTGGTGAAGCAGAAATAGTCCACAGCATTGAGGGAGAGCAGGTGGTAGAGGAACTGCTCTCTTTCCTCCTCACAGCGTAGAAAAGCGTACCGTTTATAAAGCTTCCTGAGAAGGTAAACACAGGCACACATAGTGGTTACAATTTTCATTCTTAAAATCACGATGTAAAATTAACACCTTCTGAGCCAGGGAGCGGGTTCTCTACCATCTGCCAACTCTCACGCCCTAATTAAATCCCTGAGACTCACATGGGAAGGAGAGAACACATCATCCAGTAACATCCATCTGATTTCTGCACATGCACTTGAGCTAAATAAAAACTAAAGATCAATCAAACAAAAAGTCCCCCTCAAGCACCAGGCTGGAGAGATAGTGTAGTGGTTAAGAGCACTGTCTGCTCTCCCAGAAGACATGGATTTGATTCCTAGCACAAACATGGCATTTCCTATCTGTAAGTCCAGTCCCAGGGGACTGGCATTCTCTTATGACCTCCTGTGCACTGTACAATTTGGGACACAGACACACACACATTAAACAAACAAGAAAACGCTCACCTTACCACGTAGGCGCTGGGAATTGAACCGAGGTGTGCTCTTACGTGCCGAGCCATCCCTTCAGCCCCCTCTACCTTATTTATTTGCTTCAGGGATCCACCTGTCTGTGCACCACCCCTTCCACTCCAAGACACACAACACCAGGCTGGGATTGCAAGCTTGTGCTGCCACATCTGTGTGGGTGCTAGGGATCTGAACATGGGTCCTTATGCTTACCTGGCCGGGCCTTTGACTGACTGAATCATTTCCTCAGGCTCCACTTTTATTTTATTTAATTATGCAATGCAGCCCAGGCTGCCTCAAACTTGCTATATTTGCTAAGGATTACCTTGAACTTCTGGTCCTCCTGTCTACAACTGGGATTAGAGGTATGTACCATCATATCCCATTTAATCAGTGCAAGGGAACAAACACATGACTTCATGTATGCTAGACAAGCATTCTACCAAGTGAGTTGCGGCTTAATCCCTTATACTATGTTTTTTGTTTGTTTGTTTTGTTTTTTTTAAAAAACCAACCTACTCTTTGGACATTAAGATTTTTTTTTCTTTTTTCTTTTTTTTTTAAATTTATTTACTTATTATGTATACAATATTCAGTTTGTGTGTATGCCTGCAGGCCAGAAGAGGGCACCAGACCCCATTACAGATGGTTGTGAGCCACCATGTGGTTGCTGGGAATTGAACTCAGGACCTTTGGAAGAGCAGGCAGTGCTCTTAACCGCTGAGCCATCTCTCCAGCCCTGGACATTAAGATTTATTCTAAGCTTGGAATGTAGCACTCATGAGGCTGAGATAGGCAGATCTCTGAGTTTGAGGTCTACCTGATCTAAGTAAGTTCCAGGACAGCCAAGGCTATGTTGTAAGACCCTATTTCAAACAAAACAAAACAACTCATTCTACAATGCTCCAGGGCCATAGATGTGAGTGTAAGAGCACAAACAGTCCTGGTTACCATGTATGGGTCCAATAGAAAAGCCACGGCAAGGTTTGAATCAGGTTCTTTGCAAATCTTTGCTCAAGAACTCTAACTTCTTAGCGTTCAAGTAAATCCTAATGTTCTTATCATTTAAATGGATTTCTGGCTAGGCAAGGTGGTTCATACCTAGCACTCAGGAGCCAGAAGAGGGCACCATATCTCATTACAGATGGTTGCTGGGTATTGAATTTACAGCCTCTGGAAGTGCCCTTAACCACTGAGCCATCTCTCCAACCCAGTATTTTCTTTCTTCTCTTCTCTCCTCCCTCTCTTTCTCCCTCTCTAAGATTTATTATGTAGTGTAGGAGGGTCTTCTGTCTATGTGTTACTTGGCCTTTTGATAGGGCAGCCCTTAGGTGGGCGGAGTAGACAGAACAGAATGCTGAGAAGGGAAGTGTGGCAGACGCCATGATTCTCCTTCCTGAGACGGACGCTGGTTAGACTCATGCCGGTAAGCCACAGTCAAATGGCAATACACATTAATGGAAATGGGTTAATCAAGATGTGAGAGTTAGCCAATAAGAGGCTAGAGATAATGGGTCGGTCAGGCAGTAATTTAATTAATACAATTTCCGTGTGGTTATTTCAGGGGCTAAGCTAGCAGGGCGGCGGGACTCAGTCCACCGCTCCTCATTACAACAATTATGTATACAGTATTCCGCCTGCATGGCAGCAGACCCCATTAGAGATGGTTGTGAGCCACCATGTGGTTGCTGGGAATTGAATTCAGCCAGTGCTCTTAGCCTCTGAGCTATATGGCAGCCCCACGAAGGTATTTTCTGAAGCATATCTGTTATACAAGAATGTATGTGTTCATGAATCAGGATTTATGATGAAGGAGCTAGTTTCTTAGCTTATTTAATTTCCTTTGTAAGCACACATCACAGAAACAAATGTCTTGAAAGGTGATGTCTTACTTGGTCAGTAGTTGGTTGGAGAGCAACTGCTTGAGATGCTGTGACAAAAGTTTCTTTTCTAGAGACAATCTTATCCATGCCCGGGCTCGGCCAACATCAGTCTTGATCTCACTCATGTTTTGAACATGCCTAAAAATCAGTACCAAAAAATAAGATTTTTTTTGCATTTAAATACATCTTGTTTTTAGACAACATATATGAAATGCCTTATTCTTAAAACAATGCATCTGATTCAAATAAATCACAGTCAAAACAAAAGTTCTGTGTAGCCCTGGCTGTCCTGGAACTCACTCTGTAGGGCAGGCTGGCCCGTGAACTCACAGAGATCCACCTGCCTCTGCCTCCTGAGAGCTGGAACTAAAGGTGTGTGCCACCACCACCTCCCAGCTTAGTCCCCTTTGTCCTGGTGTTGCTTGGATGACAGGCAATAGCCAGTCACGGTGAAGGGGGCAGATCAAAGGTAACTGATCAATTTGTTAATTTGTTAGTATTTTTCCATTTCTAAATTATCCTTAAAGAAAGTCACATATAGGATCACACTGTCTCTATAGACGTCCAGGAGAGCAACACTGCCATCTAGATTCATGTTTTCACAAATAAACAACTGGTAACTATTGAAATTAGCAAGGATGTGCTTAACTTGCTCTTCAGCCCCAGTCATAAAATCCTAGAAGAGATTTTTAAGGATAACTTTAAGATAGAAAAGAACTAAAAAATATTAACAATACTGGGCCCAGAAAAATTCTTCTTCTTCTTCTTTTTTTTTTTTTGGATTTTCGAGACAGGGTTTCTCCGTGGCTTTTGGTTCCTGTCCTGGAACTAGCTCTTGTAGACCAGGCTGGCCTCGAACTCGCAGAGATCCGCCTGCCTCTGCCTCCCGAGTGTTGGGATTAAAGCCAGAAAAATTCTTTTATATTTAGATGAAGAAATAGGTAATACACATCTTTGTTGTTGCTATTTAATTTTTGAGAAAGAGTCTTACTATGCAGCCCCATCTGGCCTGGAACTCATCATGTAGACCATGCTAGCCGCAAACTCATAGATGCATTTGCCTTAGTCTCCCGAGAGCTGGGATTAAAGGTGTATTCCACCATGCCTGATTTGAACTCTGTAGACCAGGCTGGCCTCTCACTCTGCTTCCTAAGTGCTGGAATTAAAGACATGAACCACCAGCACTGTAACACACTTTTGAGGGCGGTCAAAGCCTCAGAGATTTGAATCTCAGATCTAGTTGTACACCAGAACTGACATTGTACCTGGCATGGTGATACATGCCTGCAATCCCAGCATTCAAGAGGCAGAGGCAAGCAGGCTACTTAAGAAAATAAAAATAAAACAATAAAGTGTGCGTTAGGAGGTGGACTGTATATATTTACACATGAGTGCAGGTGTCCAAAGAGACCACAGACAGTGTCAGATGACCTGGAGTGGAGTCACAGGCATTATAAGCTGCTTGGCTGGGTGCTGGGAACCAAACTCAGGTCCCCACAAGAACACTATAGGTCGGGGCTGAGAGCACTGATACCACAGAGAACCCAGGCTCAGTTCCCAGCATCCTCCCAGCAGAGAAAAGGAAAACCAGAAAAAGAAAACAAAGTAGATATAAAAAAACAACTCAAGTGAAGTCTTTGCTCATGTGACTCATCACAAAACACACACACACACACACACACTCACACTGGATTGTGCTTATTGTTAAGTAAATGTAAAAGTTAGTAAGGAGCCTGAGCTATCAGCTGAGCATTTATAAGTAATATAAGCTTCTGTTGGTAATTTGGGAAGCAGTTGCTGGATTCTTGGAACTGGAGGGAGGCAGAGAAATGTACATTTACACACTTACACTTACACACACACACGAGGTGCTTGTAATCCCTGTGTTTGGGAGGGGCTTTCTAGCTAGCCCACCCAGCCCAACTATCAAACAGAGATCCCCTGCTTCTGCTTCCAAGTGTTGAATTGAAAGACACATGCTACCACAACAGTCTTTTTTTCCTTTATTTTCTTTATTCTCCCAAGATTTTACGTGTATTGTTGTTTTGACTGTATGTATGTCTGTGTGAGGATACCATATCCCCTAGAACTGGAGTTATAGACAGTTGTGAGCTGTCATGTGGGTGCTGGGAATTAAACCCAGGTTCAAATCTAGAAGACTAACCAATGCTTTTAACCACTGAGCCATCTCCCTAGCCCCAGGACAAAAAGTCTTAAGTATCATGGTTATTTTATATTTTATGTACACACATTTTAAAAGCTCATATCTTAAATGTTGACTAAATATTGTGCTGAAAATGTTTATAAGGAAAAAGCCTAACCATTTTCGTTCTTTTTTTTTGTTTGTTTTATTTTATTTTATTTTTTTTTCGAGACAGGGTTTCTCTGTAGCTTTGGTGCCCGTCCCGGAACTAGCTCTCGTAGACCAGGCTGGCCTCGAACTCCCAGAGATCCGCCTGTCTCTGCCTCCCGAGTGCTGGGATTAAAGGCGTGCGCCACCACCGCCTGGCTTTTTTTTGGTTTTATTTTGCTTTTTTTGAGACAGCTGTAACAGCCATGGTTGTCCTGGAATTTGCTTTGTAGACCAGGTTGCCCTTGAACTCAGAGAGACCCACCGGCCTCTGCCTCCCAGGTGCTGGAATTAAAGGCATGCACCAACCAGTCACTGGCAAGAAATGCTAATTTTAATATTTGTATTTCTAAAGCTATATCTTGTTGGGTGATGACGGTGACTCACAACTTTAGACCCAACACTTGGAGGCAGAGACATGTGGGTCCCTGAGTTTGAAACCAGTCTGACCTACAGAGTGAGTTTTATGATAGTTAGGGTTACACAGAGAAACTATCTCAAAAAACAAACAAACAAAGATAAAAAGAAAAACTATCTTTCAGAGATCAATTTTTCTGCCAAGCCACCTACTGTTATTTTTTGGCCTAAATCTATAGATAACATGCACTTAAAGAGATTCAGAGCTGTTTTAGAACACTCTTCCCCAACTGCATCTCCCCTTTTATTCAATGTCAGAAGAAAACAACAAACAGTACAATAGTAAAACAATTAAAACTGAGGCTGGAGAGACGGCTGTGCAGTTAAAGGTGCTTGTTGCTCTTCACCCAGGCTTGTTCTCAGTGCCCACACACAACATCCCTGATGCTGGCTTGAGGAGATCTAGTGCCCTCCTCTGAACTCCATGGGCACCAGGCATGCATATGGTTTACATACATGTAAATGCAGGTCAAACACTAATACTCATAGAATAAAAATAAATAAACCACATCTATAATTAGGAAAATACTTTCTTCAGAATATGCAAACAAAAGGTATGGTTAAAATCACGTGAGCAATCTGGGTGAAAAGCTATGCTTCACAGTTATCACCGTCCATTAACATGTGTAACAAATACCTCATGTCTTGAATTAGAGAGACCCTGAGTGTTGGTAACATAACTCCTGAGTCAGATTTTCTTCTTTCTGGTCCAAGGGCAACTATGTAGAAAAATATTAGCAAAGTATTAGGAAAATAACAGTGAGCATTTATACTTTAACTTTTTTTTGTTTTGTTTTGTTTTTCGAGACAGGGTTTCTCTGTGGTTTTGGAGCCTGTCCTGGAAGTAGCTCTTGTAGACCAGGCTTGTCTCGAACTCACAGAGATCCGCCTGCCTCTGCCTCCCGAGTGCTGGGATTAAAGGCGCCACCACCGCCCAGCTATACTTTAACTTTTAATCTTTTTGAAGACAAGTCTTTCTCTGTTACCCTGGCTGGTCTTGAACTCACACAGATCCACCTGGCTTTGCCTCCTAAGTGTTGGGATTGAAAGGATGTACCACCATGCTTGACCTATTGGTACATTTTAAAAATAATTTTTAAAAAATGTATGAGTTTGCTGGTCAGTGGTGGTGTACACTTTTAATCCCAGCACGTGGGAGGCAGAGAAAGGAGAGTCTCTGTAGAGTTTGAGGCCAGCCTGGTCTACAGAGTGAGTTCCAGGACAGCCAATGCTACAGAGAAATCCTGTCTCAAAAAAAACCCCAAAACCAAACAAATTCTGAGATTACAATCTAAATGTATCATTTCCCTCTTCCCTTTAACCTCCCAATGCACCCTGTTCTCCACGCCTTTGCTCTTTCAGGTTCACAGCCTTCTATCATTGGATACGTGCATGTATATATACTTCTAAATACATAGATACAACCTGCTCAGTCTGTACGCTACTTGTATGCATGCATGTATTTTTTTAGGGATGGCCATTTAAAACAGCAAATGTGTGTTCTTTATAAACAAGCTGTAGCTATATTTGGAAACAAAACAGATATTTTATTCAGTACACCTGGTAAATAATGCAGCATGTGCAGGCTCTGGCTATGAGGTCAGCTACTTGGCCATTCGTTCTCACAGTGCTGGATAGTTACTCAAAAACACTGTCTCATGCACCCAAGGCTGTCCTCTGACCCTGAATGTTAGGGTTACACGTATGTGATATGATTCTGGGGACTGAACCTAGGACATCCTCAGCCCAGAAAACATTTAATATTAAACACGGGAAGATCCTTTTTTTCTTTTCCTTTCTTTTTAGATAGGGTTTCTCTGTATAACAGCCCTGACTATCCTGGAACTTGCTTTGTAAACCAGGCCTGCCTCTGCCTCCCAAGTGTTAGGTTCAAAAGTGTGTGCCACCATGCCCAGCTTTTTAAAATTTATTTATTTATTTAACACTACTGTTTTGGCTATTTAAGCTGGTAAAGTCTTCCTTCAAAGTTCAGAATTCTAACTACCATAGCATGCAAAGTGAGTATTTAAACTGACTTCTAAAAGTATAAGGTAGACGAATGATTTTCTTTTCTTTCCTTCTTCTTTTTAATTTTGAGACATGGTCTCATGCTGTACTTGACTGTTGGAACTCACCATGTAGTCTAGGCTGGCTCAACTCACACAGATCTATCTCCACTGGCCTCTCAAATGCTAAGATTAAAGGTGTGCACCCATCATACTTGGTGAGTAATTCTCTCATAAATTAAATGGTTAAATGCCACATTTATTTCACTTTATTAAAACTTTGAAAAATTAGATTGATATGAGTTAGAGTGTTTTGCCATCATGTCTATTGGTGTACACGTGTGTACACACACACACACACACACACACACACACACACACCATGTGCATGTTTGGCATGTGTTTAGTCCACAGAGGTCAGGAGAGGGTACCAAATCCCCAGGAACTAGAGATAAGGATGGTTGTGACCTACCATTTGGGCTCTGGAAATCAAACCCAGGTCCTCTAGAAAAGCAACGGTGTTCTTAAGCATTGAGCGCACTCTCCAGTTCCACAGCTAACATTTATAAAGGAAGGAAAATGACTCTTACAGCAAGCATCGAGCACACAGCCACAGGCTATGAAGTGGGAACGGGTCTCACTTTTGATGAGAAGCGATGGGATTTTATACACTTTCTTCATTTCTCTTCTGTAAACGGAAACTGAGCTGAAGCACCACAGTTAGCAAATACACTGATGAAACTTAAAATGTGGACTTTGCTTTATATTACAGCTTTTTCTCTGATTTTAGCTCCACTGATGTTGAGAAGTCGGGATGCAATACTGGCACAGATGTCTGTCTCCTGCCCAGGCCTCCAAGGAAGAGTCAGTCAGTTTTACTGTATTAGACCTTTCTGTTTTTGGTGCTTGGTGGAAAGGCTGGACTCATATCTAGTAGACATATATAATCCCTGTGGGACTGACACGGAGGCTCCAGTGGTGGTCAGGGTCTCTCTACGTGGCCCTGGCTATCTTAGAACTCACTCTGTAGACCAGGCTGTCCTTGAACTCACAGAGATCCACCTGCTTCTTCTTCTGAGGGCTGGGAATTAAATAGGTGTGCCACAACATCTGACTTAGGGAAGGCAACTTTCAAACTTGTACTTCAAAGACTAATCTCTCTGATACTCAGGGAAGTAAGGCACACTGAAGAAACTGTCTTAGACACTTTCAGGGAATATATATGTTTATCTTTCTATTAAGATCATCCTACCTTAAGTGTGTTATTAAAGTGCATTATTCTTTGGAGGTAGAAAGTCAAATGGCTCAGAGAATGACTCTTCATTCTGACATTACAATGCAGCCATACACACAGTAAGAAATAGGGTGAAAATGGTACAATGGTACAAACCAGTACGGCCAGCATTTGGAAGGAGTACGCAGAAGGATCAGGAGTTCAAGGACATCTTTAGCAACAAGAAATTCTGTCTCAACAAACAAAACTGAACAAAATAGCAATCTCAAAACAAAATGCTGAGAAGTGGAATAAGATTATGAAGCAGAAGAAAAGAGTTGAAACCATAATCAGCAAGTTGGCCAGGGGGAAACAACGGAGGAGCCAGAAAGCTCATGAGACTCTCGCAATGAAAAGGAGGCCCAGAGGTACAGCTCAGTGATGGGGTGCTTGTCTACTGTGTGAGGCCTGGCCACAATGCTCAGCAACAACACCAATAACAATACGTGTCCTACAGGTAAAGGGACTGTTAATTTGTCAGGAAATGTGCTCCCCAAAATTGTGTTTATGGCTCAGCCCCTAATACAGTGTTCACATTTGGGAGGTGACTGAATCATCTGGACTCTAGCCCCTTCAGCAGATCAAGTCAGTGACGGGCAAACAGTCTGGTGGCACCGGAGAGTGGCAGATACGAGAAGGCAGGGCCTATGCAGGTCAAGCAGGTCATCGAGAGCATGCCTTGGAAAAGTGCGCTTTCTCCAGCTCCACCTCCAGTCCCCGCAGCCCTCAAGTGGGCAATGTTACTCTCATGCATTTTTAAGTCTAAAACTTACTTTTTAATGCTCCTTTATCAACTTTCTCCCCATTTACTGTCTGTTTATCACTAGACTGGAAGCAGCTTAATGGTTGAATATGATGTTCCGGAACCCTGTAGGGAATTTAACAGGCGTCCCTGCTTGGATGAGGGACTTCAATGGTCTATAAGAGTATGGACTGGCCGGGCGATGGTGGCGCACGCCTTTAATCCCAGCACTCGGGAGGCAGAGGCAGGCGGATCTCTGTGAGTTCGAGACCAGCCTGGTCTACAGAGCGAGTTCCAGGACAGGCTCCAAAGCCACAGAGAAACCCTATCTCGAAAAACCAAAAAAAAAAAAAAAAAAGAGTATGGACTGCTCTTGCAAAGGACCCCAAATTTGGTCCCATCACTCATGTTGGGTAGACTGCAAGTACCTGTAGCTGTACCTTCAGGAGACACAATGTTGTCTTCTGGCCTCCAAAGGCATTTACACACATACAGTCATATAAACAAAAAAATATCTATTTAGGGGCTGGAGAAATGGCTCAGAAGTCATGAGTTCAATTCCCAGCAACCACATGGTGGTTCACAACCATCTGTAATGAGATCTGGTGCCCTCTTCTGGCCTGCAGGCAAACATGCAGACAGAACACTACATACATAAAAAAATAAACAAAATCTTAAAAAAAAAAGAGGCTTCAGGTCCCACTGGCGCGCGCTCTCTCTCTGTATGGATAGATGTGTATGTGTATGTACATATCCATATCCATATATAAAAGTTATGCTGGGCAGGTGTTGATGCCTACCTTTAATCCCATCCCATGGGGAAGCAGAGGCTATCAGATCTCTGTACAGTTCAAGTCAGTCAGATCTACATAGGGAGTTCTAGGCCAGCCAGAGCCATACAGTGAGACTCTGTCTAAAAAAAAGCTACATGGCTCTTACTAATCTTACTGAGAACATAAAACACTGTTCTTACATCGCTAGCCCTTCATCAATGTGGCAGTGCAGCAGAGACCGTAACCGCACGGACCTCTGATGCAGTTTCATTTATCTTTCTTCACTTTAGAATCTGCTGGAGGTCACTGAAGATGTTTAGGACTCGATTTCTAACTGAACCACTCAACATTTGTTCAGTGAAACCACAAAAACTACAAGTTCTGCCCAGCAGCAACTGACTCTAACAGCTAAACATTTTCACACACCTTTTTGGGCATAAGAGTTGAGCATGTCTATCTCATCTTAATTGAGCTTGGCTTTTCACTCCATGAACAGCCCCTTCCTAGGAATTAATTCTTGCTTGAGACAGGGTCTTACACACACCCCAGGGACGGCCTCCCACTCCTGAGCCCGCTGCTCCCACCTTGAGGTTGGTTCGGATTACCACTATGCTCAGCTCCACCTTTTCTAACCAGGGTAAAACCCATGTACTGGCCTTCAAGCTATGGTCAAGCGAACTTTAGATAAGCTACCTTGTTTATATGGTTTTTCATTTTAATGGCTACAATTCGGTTAGATACAGGACACAGACCATTCATTGACTTCTACTTTCTACACAGCAGAAATGGACGAAGAGATGGACTTCAGAGGTCTAAACTGTACCGGTATAAATACAGTTACGGCTGAGGCCATCAGGACACTGACAAGCTCTGGAGAGGGGTTCCAGGGCAATGTAATATCAAATCCATATTCTTACTTGTCTTATACATTTAAAAAATGAGGGCCGGGCAGGGGTGGCGCACGCCTTTAATCCCGGCACTCGGGAGGCAGAGACAGGCGGATCTCTGTGAGTTCAAGGCCAGCCTGGTCTACAAGAGCTAGTTCCAGGACAGGAACCAAAACCTACGGGGAAACCCTGTCTCGAAAAATTAAAAACATTTAAAAAATGAGGTTTTTTACAAGTAAACTCTGAGGGAGGACTACCTTGGGTACAAACAGTGAAGGAAAAGGAACTGGGGATCCAAGATGTCCCTTTACTTCCCTTCTTTCATTGGTTCCTTCTTTTTATTTTTTCAGTATTGGGGACTGGACTCAGGGTCTCACACTTGCTAGGTGAATATTCTCCCCCAGAGCTACGTCCTCAACCTACAATATTTTATTTCTTAAGTTTGTGGGTTAGGTTATACATTTTTTTAAAATCGCGCGCGCGCACACGCGCGTACACACACACACACACACACACACGCATGTTCTATGGTCTCTAGATTGAGGTCAAAAGATAATTTTGTTGCTGGGCTACAAGAGCTAGTTTCAGGACAGGCTCCAAAGCTACAGAGAAACCCTGTCTCAAAAAACCAGAAAAAAAATTCTTTAAAGAGACAGTATAGTCATAGACTAAAGCAGTAAAGAAAAATAAGCCATGTAAAGATGAAAAATATATAGAGTCTGGATTATGTATATTATTGTGTTTTCTTTGAATTTTTTGACTGTGAATGAGCTAAGTACAGAAAGACATTTCACTGTATGGGCTGCTAAGATAAACCAACATATATATTTTAAATGTATCTTGACTTTAAACTTTTAGTCTAAGGATATGTTGCTTTGGAAAAGTGGTTCTGCTTTTGTTTCCACAGAAAATGAGAACCTGTGGATTCCTTCTAGGCTAATATGGTTTGATCAAACAGGATCCCTGAAGTAATGGCCTCGGTGGTCCAACATCCACAACAGCTTTAGGACTGTTGGCTGAGAAGGACTAACCACACAGGATACCCCATGAAAGACCTGAGGAACAGCACCCTCAACCAGCAGGAAATAGTCTAAAAAAACTATGTCCAAATTCCCAAAAATTGTTTAAAAATGATTGTTTTCATTTAAAGAGGGTTGACTATAAATGATTAATGATCACAGTCAATTTCTATAAAAAATAAGGAGGATATGATATAGAGATGAATACTTTGCATTGGTATCGATCTTGGTATGTTGATACAAATTTAAAGTTGATGTTGTTACACTGTGTATTACACTGTGTATATGTATTTCTGCTTTTGTTTAGGGTACTGTGTTTGTGCAGCTCATTTAAAAATGTAATGTATAGCCGGGCGGTGGTGGCGCACACCTTTAATCCCAGCACTTGGGAGGCAGAGGCAGGCGGATTTCTGTGAGTTCGAGACCAGCCTGGTCTACAAGAGCTAGTTCCAGGACAGGCTCCAAAACCACAGAGAAACCCTGTCTCGAAAAACCAAAAAAAAAAAAAAAAAAGAAAAAAAAAAGAAAAAAATGCAATGTATAATTAAGAAATACAGGTTAATAGGCAGTCATTTATAATAGTCAAGCTTGTAGTCATGTTAGTTAGATTTTTCTAGATTTACAAGGAGAAATATATATTTCAGATGGACAGGTATCCTCCAAACCTTTCAAAGACTAACAGAACACGGCATTTAAATGTTTTAATAACTTAGGACTTTCCATGATAGTGAGACTCATCTGCTCCTGGCAGGACCAATCTACTTCAAGAGGATGATGGACATCAGAGAAGCTCCTTATGGAGTTTGTTAGTCATTTGGGCCAGAAACTGTTCTTTCCTGGACTACTTGATGTTATGCTGTATAAATTGAACATGTAGGATCCACAGAAAAATGACTGCTGAACTTGCCTAAAGGTGAGACAGTCCTTCAGGGTTCCTGCTTCATGAAAGAACTGCCAGACATTGTGCAGGACACAGAAGAAAGCATCTGATAGACTTTGCCATTACAATGCAAAACAGATCTTCAAATTTCCTGCTTCATGGGAAAGTCTGCCAGATACTATGGGCCTGTAGGCTGAAAATAGATGCTCCAAAGGTATAGAAGAACTTTAGGTGACTGCCCAGGCAGTGAGATGTCTCTGTCAATTCTAGAGTTTTGGAAGTTGTTTACAATGCACTTCCTCTTAACTCAGGTAATATTATAGCCTTCTGGGGTCTTTGATGGAGTTGAAGAATAGTTATAATTATAGTTTTCCTTAGTTATGATAAAAGATAAAGCAGATACTTTATAAACATTGTAATTGTAATTCTTGCTTGAAACCTGTTTTGTTGTATGTAATTTTACTATGTTAAAGTTAAAACCTCCCCTTTTATTTACAAAGAAAAGGGGGGATGATGTGGGATTTCCTTCTGCATGCTATGAATATGTTTTATTACTATCGATTATTAAAGAAACAGTTTTAGCTAATGGCTTAGTACAATAAAGCCAGGTGGGAAATCCAAACAGACTATAGAGAGAAAGTAGGCAGAGTCAGGGAGATGTCATGTAGCTGCTGAAGGAGAAAGATTTCAGCCAAAACCTTTCCAGTGGGCCACAGTCTTGTGGTGCTACATAGATTAATAGAAATGGGTTATTTTAAGATGTAAGAGCTAGCTAAAAATACGTCTAAGATATTGGCCAAACAATACTGTAATTGAAAAAAAGAGAAAAAGAAAGCAGAAGACAGAAAAGTCAAGTAAGTTTCTGTAGATTCATATCTCATAATATTGCTTCTTCTATTTTATCCTTACTGACAACATGGGTAAATTTCAGATAGAGACAAACTCATCTAAAATGATTCTTTTTTTTTATATATAATGTTTATTTATTTATTTTTTTAGATTTATTTATTATGTATACAACATGCCAGAAGAGGGCACCAGATCTCATTCTAGATGGCTGTGAGCCACCATGTGGTTGCTGGGAATTGAACTCAGGACCTCTGGAAGAGCAGTCAGTGCTCTTAACCTCTGAGCCATCTCTCCAGCCCTAAAATGATTCTTCTCATTGTCTCCTACTGCCTGTTCTATCAAACCAATCTATCTCAAGTTAGGTGTGGTGGCCCAAGCCTATAATCCCAGCACTTGGGAGGTGAAGACAGGAGGATCAAGAGTACAAGGTTAGCCCAGTATACACAAGACTTGAAGGAATCTATCTTATCTCAACACCTTCTTACCTGGTGAATCTGTAAGGTGCTCTTGTTTCTCTTCTCTGTCCTGGAAATGAATTAAATGTGACCACAAGGCAGATTTCCCCTGAAAACACAAGACACATCAAATGCTCACTTTAAAGAAACAATTAATCAAAAATAATCTATCATCAGGACCTATATTATATTGGCCACTGAAAAGTCTGGCGACTCAGGATCATCCATTCTCAGCTATGTGAACCCCCCACCTGCTATCACCCCCTCCGCTCCCCACTTTTGGTAATGCTGGAGACTGAAAACAGGAAATTGCTTTCCAGGCAAGCACTGTAACACCAGGCCATATTCTCAATCTTGTGTAACATTCTGAGCATCTCATTTCATGTGTTGTACAAGTCTTCCTTTGCTTTGCTGAGAATCCCGGCAAGAGCCTGGCAGAGGGAAGCAGTTAAGAAGGCCAGGGCAGTGCTGAAGCACTCTGGACTTAGCTCATCTGTTGCTTAGTTGTATGTGACTAGGCCACAGTAAAAAACATGGACATAAAAGACTAGTTGCATTTGTGAATCTTGGTATGAAATATCTTTAGATTTATGGAGCAGCAATGAAGGATGAAAATTAGAGAGGAGAAAGACAAAGAGCCTTTTAGAAAAAGCAACCTGAAACAAAAACAGAGAGACCATTTAAATTTCTCCACCTTGAATTACTAGATAACTTAAAATGATAAAGAACTATTAATTTTGGTTAGCATTTTTTTTTTTTTTGCGGTGGGAGGGACGGACAGAAGGACAAGACATCTCTTACAGAGGTCCATCTGCCTCTGCCACCCCAGTAATAGTGTAACAGGGCCCTAGACCTTAATAGGCCCCTAGACCTTAGCACAAGTGGCATTTAGGCTGTAAAACTCAGCACATACACAAAGTCCATAGTTCTGGGAAAGTCTCTGAATGTACTAACCTTGCTTTTTGGCTTCTGTAGTTCTGCTTCTGGCTAACTGTTCTTGTTAACTGAAGTGTGTCAACGCAGGACATGGTTTTTGTCTTAAACGCTCACCCTGAAGGCTCAGTGTTACAGCCAGCATAGTCACCAGATGGCTAATAAACATTCCTGTTGGCTTAAGCCCATGTCTGAGCAGTCTCTGGTGAATACCCCACAATAATGGAACTAAACACAATGCATCACCACACCTGGCTTGGTTAGCACATTTTTTAATTTTTTTTATGATTTATTTAACTTTATTTTATGTGCATTGGTGTGAAGGTGTCAGACCCCCTGCAACTGGATCTTCAGACAGTTGTGAGCTGCCATGTGGGTGCTGGGAATTGAACCCGGGTCCTCTGGAAGAGCAGTTAGTGCTTCCAACCACTGAGCCATTTCTCCAGCCCCTGGTTAGCACATTTTTAAAAATCTGTATAAAAGTAGATACTTACTATAATCAACAATGGGTATAATTTCTGTAATATACTTACAATTTTTTAAAACATAATTCTTTATTGAGTCTTTGGGAATTTCACATCATGCACCAATCCCGCTCACCTCCCAGCCCCTTAATATCCATCCCTTACCCTGTAGCATCCCCTCAAAGAACCCACCCAAAAATTAACTAAAACAAAACAAAGCAGAAAAAAAAAAAACCCAAAACCCCACCTCACTCCTCCATCTTTCCAACACCTCTTCATTCATCCTAGTGGCAATAAGTGCTGTGGGGTGTCACGCAGTGTACCTCTTTGTCCAGTCAGCCCCACCCACAAAATGCTCATTGCAGAGAGTCACTGGTCTGGTTCAAGGTCTCTGGCCACACAGTTGTCATGGAAACTCCTCTCGGATATCCTGCTGTTGTCCCAAGTAACTGAGATTCTGTGACGATTGTTCCACAAGACCAGTCCCTTTATAAACTCCAGCAGTTATAGATGGGGCAGATACTAGGGTAGGCCAATCCAAGGCCCAGAATGTAGGTCTGGATGGTAGCTAAGCTGGTAGTTGGGGCCACTGGAATCGCCCCCTCAGGCAAGGGGCAGAGCCAGCCTTCCTAGGTCCATGCCATAGCGGCCAGCTCTCCCGCATCTGTGGTGAAAGACAGGCCCTGTCTCTCTCCTCAGTGCGGGGGCCAGCTCTCCCAACACACATGCAATTTTGTATCTTCCTGTGTATCACTAAAGATCCTCCAACCACCCCCTGATCATAGATTATGTTTCTTTCTTTGTCTCTTTATTTTATTTTATTTTATTTATTTATTTATTTATTTTTGGTTTTTCGAGACAGGGTTTCTCTGTGGCTTTGGAGCCTGTCCTGGAACTCGCTCTGTAGACCAGGCTGGTCTCGAACTCACAGAGATCCGCCTGCCTCTGCCTCCCGAGTGCTGGGATTAAAGGCGTGCGCCACCATCGCCTGGCTAATTTTATTTTTTTTGAGATAGTCTCACTGTTGAGGCTCAGCTGGCCTGGAACTCACTTTGTATGCCAGTTTACCTCTATCTTTCTCTGTCTCCCACGTGGTGAGATTAAGGGTGTATGCCACCACCTCCAGTCCAGATTGTTTGTTTTTCCCGGAACTGAATGGCCTGTGATATGTATCTAGTTATCTTGTGAGATCTTTTTCTTGTCATACTTCTCATTCATGTATGGAAATTAGAGGAGAACTTCCAGGAGGGTCTTTTGAGCACCTGCCACTCAGCAGCCTCACCCTTGCCTCCTTTGCTTTTGCTTTTTTTTTTTTTTTTTTGTAACCCTGACTGGCCTGGGGCTAGCACTGTAGAACTGCCTGCCTGCCTCTGCCTCCGAGTGTTGGGATTAAGGGTGTACCACCACCACCTGGCCTTCTTTCCTTCATTAGGACAGGGTCTCCCTCTGTAGACCAGGCTGCCCTCAACAGAGATCCACCTGTTCTGCTTCCCCAGTGCTGGGATTAAAGGTGTGCACCACAATGAACGGTACCTGACATGAATAAGCCCTTGACTGCCCAAGCCACTATCACCTCTTGAGTTATTTACCTGCTTGACCTGTAAACCATGGCTCCATATCCTCTCCAGTAGGTCACAGAGGCTGGCGATCAAGGTATTTTCTTCCAAGCCAGTGATGTTCGCTTCTCCATGGCCCAGCTCCACAGCTTCATGTCCCATCTTCTCTACCAACATGCGTTTTGTCTGAAAACATCATGGCTGGTCATAAATTACCACAGCAGTGAAAATCAAAATCGAGGAATCAATCACTAGCTCAGAAAATCTGGCTTCCTTCATTACAATTCTAGTTACATATTTTCAGTCACCATGGAGAAAATATCTTAATATGGTGGTCAGCTGATTAGTGTAATACTTTCTATATTTTATTTTTATGTCAGAGGAGTGTTAGGGCACCAACGAAGAAATAAAATGCTTGTAAGGCATTGTGAGGTTGAAAAATACATGTAATTTAGATTATTAACTTCTGTAATAATATAATTGTTCTAGATCTTCTACAATCACCTTGAGTCTAGAAAGTGCACTGGCACCAGCACCTTGAGCTATCGCGACCATTTGACCTTTCTTGACTCTAGCACCTTGGCAAACTAAAGCTTTTTGCACCTAAGCTAAAACCACAACAGAAATGAGCAACTCTATGCTTTTCCTTTTCCTCCCATTTTCTGTTTTTGAGAACTTCCTAGTTTGTGAGAGAACTAGGATTCTCCCCTTCTCTTCCTTTTCTCTTTTCTTTGCTCACAGGATGTATCAGAATATGAAAACCAGTTTCAGGCAAATTAATTTGCACCCACCTTAGCTAGCATTGCACATGTAAAGTGAGAGAGCATACAGCTCCCCAAGCGGTGCCTTGTTTAATGACCCATAAACACGGATATTGAAGACAGCGCTTTTACTGAATATGCTCACGTTACTTTAAAAAAAAACTGAGGTTTTTCGTCTATATAGATACTTCATATAAAGGCAGTTCTGTGAGAGAAGAATTATATCTAATACCACAGAGGCTGACGACAACATAGTTATAACATAGTTCAGATCTTTCCCCTTAAGCACATGTAGTAACGTGCATGAGACAGCAAGGCTTTATACAGGTATGTACATTGTTTGTCACGTAAGAGAGTAACATTCTTTATATAACTTATGAGTGGCTTGACATCACACTGAAGAAGAGGACAAGACCTAAGGGCTGGGCAGATGGCTTGTTGTTGTACAGGCCTGACTGGGTAAGGTGACACACACCTCCAGTCTCAATGCTGATATGGAAGATTGGGATGAAGATCATGGGTCTGCTATTTTCAAACAGCCATAGTTATAGCAACAAACAAGAAAGATGCTGCCTCAAAACGAGGTGGACGGTAAGAACTGACTCTGTTGTTCTCTGACTTACACATGTGTGCCTAGGTGCACGCGCGCACACACACACCATACTCAATACAATAGTTAAAAAGATGGGCTGGAGAGATGGCTCAGAGGTTAAGAGCACCGTCTGCAATTACAGAGGTCCTGAGTTCAACTCCCAGCAACTACATGGTGGCTCTCAGTCATCTGTGCCCTCTTCTGGCCTGCAGGCATACATGCAGGCTGAACACTGTATACATATAAATAAAATTAAAAAAAGATGAGAAAAACTATGCAAGGCTCCTGTGTCATTGATGCTGGGGGCAACGGAGACTTCATGGAGGTTCACGATTTCAGTGAAGGTCATATCCAGGTCTACAAAAAAGTTTCTTCTGAGCTTGGAGAGGTGGCTCAGTGGTTAAGAGCATTGGCTGTTCTTGCAGAGGACCTGGGTTTGATTCCCACACCCACATGGTCCCTCACAACCATTTGTAATGCCAGCCACAGAGGATCTGATGCCCTTTTTTGACCTTCATGGGCGCTGCCCACATGTAGCCCACAGACTCATAAAAAATAAAAATAAACAATAAACTTTCTTTTCAGAGAAGCTCCAGGCAGAACTGGGCTGACTCAGGTCAGACCCACACATGATATAATATGAATGAATGCACACCGTGTGGACTCAGGTGGGACCCACACATGATATAATATGAATGAATGCACACCGTGTGGACTCAGGTGGGACCCACACGTGGTATAACATGAAGCACACCGTGTGGACTCAGGTGGGACCCACACGTGGTATAACATGAAGCACACCGCGTGGACTCAGGTGGGACCCACACGTGGTATAACATGAAGCACACCGCGTGGACTCAGGTGGGACCCACACGTGGTATAACATGAAGCACACCGTGTGGACTCAGGTGGGACCCACACGTGGTATAACATGAATGCACACCGCGTGGACTCAGGTGGGACCCACACGTGGTATAACATGAATGCACACCGCGTGGACTCAGGTGGGACCCACACGTGGTATAACATGAATGCACACCGCGTGGACTCAGGTGGGACCCACACGTGGTATAACATGAAGCACACCGCGTGGACTCAGGTGGGACCCACACGTGGTATAACATGAATGCACACCGCGTGGACTCAGGTCGGACCCACACGTGGTATAACATGAAGCACACCGTGTGGACTCAGGTGGGACCCACACGTGGTATAATATGAAGCACACCGCGTGGACTCAGGTGGGACCCACACGTGGTATAACATGAAGCACACCGCGTGGACTCAGGTGGGACCCACACGTGGTATAACATGAAGCACACCGCGTGGACTCAGGTGGGACCCACACGTGGTATAACATGAAGCACACCGCGTGGACTCAGGTGGGACCCACACGTGGTATAACATGAAGCACACCGCGTGGACTCAGGTGGGACCCACACGTGGTATAACATGAAGCACACCGCGTGGACTCAGGTGGGACCCACACGTGGTATAATATGAAGCACACCGCGTGGACTCAGGTCAGACCCACACGTGGTATAACATGAATGCACACCGCGTGGCTGCAGTACACGTACCTTCATTCTGCATTCTTTTAATAAGCCTTCTACGAATTTCCAGTTGGTTTGTGCGATCACAGCAGGTGAGAGATCTGACAACTTCGGTTGCCTCATGTTCTTTCCTAGGCTTCGCGCCTCTTGCATATATTTCTAAAAATCAGGAGTATTTTGAATGTGTAAACATCATATATTCTTTTCTACTTAAAACTTACATCAACAAATACAACAAGCAAGATGTAAAAAAGGCCTTAAGTGTATGTGTATAACAGCAATTAAGATTTTAGTGCTCTTGATGGAACGCGGAAGACATGTGTACTCCTCTTGAAACAGTTAACTCTTGTGAAAAGGAGAGTGAAAGAAACATTATTAAGTTGAAATTCATTCAAAACCAGGAGTTTCATTGAGTTTAGTCTTTTTAATAGGACCACCACAATTATAATTAGTTAGGATCAATAAAAGACTCAAAAACAAAGACTTCACATCCCATAATCATCTGGGGTACTACTCTCCAGTCAAATCATCGGCTCTACTTAACTTTCAATAGTACCAGTATTACATTGTAACTAGTTTTATGACCGCAATCATATCGATGAGCATCTAATGTTGCTGCATCTCACTGTATGATGTACGCTATAGTTCACAAAAAAGGCTGAAAAGCGTGACATGCTGCAAACATGGGGGCTCTTGTCTGTATAAAACCTTCCCTTGCCTTGTTTGTGGTTACACACATACAAACACAAAAACATCCATTCCAATATTCTTGAAATTTGTTTAGTCAATTTCCATAAAAGTCAAAAACAGGGAAGGGACTGCAGCTCAGAGGCAATCAATCCCGAGTACCACTTAAACCACGTTTGGTGGTGCACACCTATAGCCTGGGTACTGGAAAGGTGCCGGCAGGAGGAACAAGAGTTCAAGGTCACTGATGTTTATGTGGCAAGCTTAAGGCCAGGCTGGGTTTCTCAAGACCAAATCTCAAAACAATAAACAAGCAAGCAAACCAAACAATCCCCTTATACCTAGTTAGTGCAAAACTACAGTCTCTGTGCTTGTATGCAGCATCCAGATTACCAGGCAGAATCTGCTCTAAATCATATAGCACAACTAGCGTTTTGTTGCTAGTGAACTGATATATTCACAGGCACAGATGTAAATCTATCCTTATTATCTTAAGGGGAGAACTGAATACTATAAAATGTGTAAAATCCTTTGCAGTCTTTGAATGTAAGAGAATTTGTTTCCCCTATGGAAGAAAATCAACCTGCTACAGCTGCTGAAGGTTCTACTGACTGAGGATCGAGTGATTAGCTTCTCTCAATATACATGACAAAAGGCAACATTAACAACATACCATGGTTCCTCAGTCTAACAATTGTAAAGAACCACTGAGACAACGAAAGAATTCCCTGTAAGACAGGTTCTTCAGCACTTGCATGCACTTTCTGCTTTAATATTATTCAAAGGAAAAAAAGGAAAATTGAGAATGAGAAAACTATTATCAGTAGGGACATTAAATAAAGCAGTGGGCATAGAAACATACTTAAGGTTACTTTTCAAGTAACTAAATGTAGGAAATAAAAGCAGTTTCAGAAAAATCAATCTGAGCTACAGGGCAGCATCTACATGAGAATTATATTTTCATTTTCTATTGTTACTTGGGGACAGAATTAAAAGCTAGATATAAAGATTAGTAAAAATACATTTTTTAAAAATATTTATTTATTTATTATGCATACAATATTCTGTCTGTGTGTATGCCTGCAGGCCAGAAGAGGGCACCAGACCTCATTACAGATGGTTGTGAGCCACCATGTGGTTGCTGGGAATTGAACTCAGGACCTTTGGAAGAGCAGGCAATGCTCTTAACCACTGAGCCATCTCTCCAGCCGGTAAAAATACATTTTTAATGTTTAAAGCTTTCCCACTGGGGATACAGCACAACTGTAGAGTGCTTGACTAGCACGGACAGAACCCTGGTTTACCCCAGCATTGTAGAAAGCCTGGTGTGTGGGTTAGATAATGGTCCTGAGTGTGTGCTGATTTTGGGGAGCACTTAGGTTCGGCTTCCAGCATTTACACCAGGTAGCTCAGGTAACTCCAGTTCCAGGAGTATGTGATGTCTCTGGCCTCCATAGGCCTGCACTCGAGTGCACATAGCCCCACAAACATGAAATTAATTTAAAAATAAAAATAAAGGTCAGGTGTGGTGGTCCACATCTGTCATCCCAGCACTAGGGAGGCCAAGGTGATTTCTGTAAACTGGAGGTCAGTCTGTTCTACACAGAGAGCTTCAAGACAGCCAAGTGTACACAGTGAGACCCTGACTCATAAAACTACTACCACCACAATAACAATAATAAATACTATTACTATTAAAAACAAACCAAAATGGGTATAGTGGGGCATGTCTTTAATCCCAGTACTTAGGAGGTGGGAAAGGGGAATCAGAAGTTCAAGATCATCCTTAAATACATGCCAGGTGAGGGCAGGCTGGGATGGATACAGGAGCTCCTGTCTCAAAAACAAAAGCAGAGGTAATCACTCTTGCAGAGGACCTGGGTTTGGTTCCTGGCCCCACTTCACAGTTGGTTCAGTTCACAACCAATTGTAACTCTAGCTACAAGAGATTCAATGCCTTCTGAGGGTACTGTACTCATGTGGCATACACATACTCAGACAGGCAGACACACACACAAAACAAAACAAAACAAAACCAAAACAAAAAACAACAGAAAACCACCTGGATGTGGTGGTGCACACCATTAATCCCAGGTCTTGGGAGGCAGAGGCATGCAGATCTCTGAATTCCAGATCACTCAGAGTTATACGGTTGATACTCTGTCTCAAAACAACAAAACATGGACAACAAACCAAGAAAAGCAAACCAAAAAAAAAAAATAAATAAATACATAACATAAAAGCAATAAGCCACTAATAAATATATATGAAATTGCAATCTTGTTTAATAAACACTGAATTTGGAACTAAGTACCTTCTCCACAGTTTTCTAATAGAGATTCTAACCTTCTAATTGGAGCTAACTTACTGGAAGACAAGACTACTATAAATGTAAACTAATAACAAGAAACAGTTGTAAGCCAGAGTCTTAGACCATTCGTATTCTCAGGTGAGCAGGGGTTAGAGCAAACTGGTATGTATGAACAGTGGAAAGATACCCGAGCCTGGACATTAGGAGTCCTGTGTTCAGCTCTGCTCTGTATGTCCATTTAACTGTGGGCAAACTTCTTGCTCGTCAGCTAAAATGTCAAGTTAGACAAGAGAACCTCACAGTCTATGATGATGAGTGAGGGAGCTTTCAGAAACACAAAATGTAGACCAGGAAAGTAAAATGCTGTGAAAACAAACATACTCAGCTACTTCTGCACTTGTGGGGAAAAAAGACTTAAAATAAGAAAGAATTTACATTCCTCTCCCACTTAGAAGAAAAGCAATTTGTTATCGAGGAGATATTCACACGTGTATGTGTGTGTGTATATACACACACACACATATACATACACACCCCAATGACTCGGGATTTGAATGTCGTTTTACTGTCAATAGCATAGAATTACTTGTGTGAGCACATTCTAGCACAAACAGGCAGAAAACACAAGATGAAGCATAGAGCAAAACATGCTACATGCACTCCTGTGTGTGTGCGCCATTCCAGAAACACCAAAGACAGGATTCAGGGACATCTTGGGAAGCACTTTCAGGGCAAAAACATACCAGGCAGCACTCAGAGAAGGACTTTTTAGGAAGCCGTGCAGGAGGAGTTGGGCCCTGATCCCACTCCCAGAATGCCATGGAGTTCTGACAGACCAAAAGTTCCCCCGAAGGCTAAGATGATGGCGATGTTTCAATGACAGAAAAGTAGAAAAAGGAAAAGGAACAAGAAAAAGAAAAAAGAAGCAAAACCTGCATGCATATGATAAGGTCACAGCACAGGAGAGGGCAGTGAAGGAAAAGCAATGGACAAGAAAGGCTTCAGTTTGGAATGATGTTTTCTGTTGTAGTTCTACACATTTGAGTTTATGAAAAACAAGATTTTTGTTTGCATTTTTGATCACAAGATGAAACAATTATTTAAACATAATTTGAATTTTATTTTCAATGAATACAAATAAAGCATATAGATCTATATCTAAAAACAGTTCTGGCACTTTTAAAAAAATGGTTAACAAGCCAAAGAGAAAGAATACATTAATATATCTTTACTTACTAACCTTAAATTATATTTGAAATGTAGATATATGTGTACCTCAATGTTGCTCCCTTCAGGAGACCTATTAAGCGAAACTTTAGCCTGAACGCAGCTTCTATTAGATTTAACACTATTTTAAAGGAATAAAAGGACAAAACTGGAGAAATGCTTTCTGTTACACTTCAGTATGAAAATAATATTTTAAAGTAAGATGACTGCACCCCGGGCAGGCAGACCACATACCTCCCGTAGGTCATTGTCTAGTCCAATGTGCTCAGAATGCTGGCGCAGGCGTTCTTTCCGGCGCTGTGCTGTGGCATTTCGGCTCACCCAGCGACTGGAAAATAAATACACCAAGACAATATAGACTAAGGAAACCATCCAAATAAAAAGACATGAAGAAATAATGGGCTGGGCAGTGGTGACACACGCCTATAATTCCAGCACGGAAGGCAGAGGCAGGAGGATCTCTGAGTTGGAGACCAGCCAGGTCTACAGTGAGTTCCTGGACAGCCAGAGCTACATAGAGAAATCCAGTCTCAAAAAACCAAAACCAACCAAAACAAAACAAAAACCAAAACACCAACCTCCTTCAAAGCAACCACACAAAACCAAACCAAACAGCAACAAAACAAACCCCATCCAGAAGGAATGAACCATTCTGCACAGAAGGCCGACAGCAGCTGTTCTGCTTTCTGCACAGAAGGCCGACAGCAGCTGTTCTGCTTTCTGCACAGAAGGCCGACAGCAGCTGTTCTGCATTCTGCACAGAAGGCCGACAGCAGCTGTTCTGCTTTCCCTTTGGACCGTCTTGCTGTGCCCTTCTGTCTGGCTTTGAAATCATGATCCTCCTGTCTCTGCACAACCACCATGCTCAGTTCTTTCAATCAATTCTTTTCAAAATATGCTTCAAGTTATAATTTTAGATACCATTTAACTTACCCATTCAAAGCACTCAATCTAATGGGTTTTGGATATTCACAACCATCACCACAATTAACACTTTTTAAAAACTGAGATTAGTTACTGGAGAGAGGTCAGCAATTAGGAGTCCTTGGTGCTTTTCCAGAGAACCTGAGTTCGGTTCCAGCACCTGTAACCAGTGTCCAAGGATCTGATGCCCTCTTTCAGCCCCCAGGGGTCCATTCTCACGTGACACACTCACAGACACAGATGCACACAAACATTTAAAGGGGAGGTACTAAGTGCTAGATACACATAATAAACATGATAACAAGTCAGACTTTTTTTTTTTTTTTTTGGTTTTTCGAGTCAGGGTTTCTCCGCAGCTTTTGGTTCTTGTCCTGGAACTAGCTCTTGTAGACCAGGCTTGCCTCGAACTCACAGCGATCCACCTGCCTCTGCCTCCCGAGTGCTGGGATTAAAGGCATGTGCCACCACCGCCCAAATTTTTGTAAAGACATGTGCAGCCCTGGCTGTCTTGGAACTATGCAGACTATACTGCCTCTGTCTCTCCATGCTGGGATTAAAAGTGTGCACCACCACACCCAGATCAAGTCGGATCTTAACTCAAGTTTATCCCTGATTATATCAGATAAATGCAGGTCTCCTTGATGTGTTCCAAGTAAATATAGGTAAATATTTTTAGCAAAAAGAATACTTTCAAAGTTCATAATTTATAACACCTTAATTGCAGTGTCCTAAAAGAATAAAATAAATTTATGAGTTCTACTTTAAAAGATTAATTTTTACTTTAACTATGAATGTACATGTCTATGTGTAGGTATGTGCATGTGAGTGTAGGTGCCCATGCATGGCCTAAGACCCTCTGGAGCTGGAGTTACAAGTGGTTATGGACTGGTCTTGAAGCTGTGCTCCTCCTGTCTCGAACTCCTTTGTGCTAGGATTGCAATTCTCACCCATCTCGCTTGCTATAAGTTGTACCTCTATTTTTAATGCTTATTATTCTTTTTTGTTTGTTTGTTTTTTTAAAAATAAAATAAATTTATTTATTATGTATACAATATTCTGTCTGTGTATATGCCTGAAGGCCAGAAGAGGGCACCAGACCCCATTACAGATGGTTGTGAGCCACCATGTGGTTGCTGGGAATTGAACTCAGGACCTCTGGAAGAGCAGGCAATGCTCTTAACCTCTGAGCCATCTCTCCAGCCCCAATGCTTATTATTCTCATGCTTGAAAATGTTTTTTATTGTTATATTCATTTCATTGTTAAATTATTTTTTCTTCCTGAAACAGTCTTTCTTTGTAGCCCTTGAATTTGCCTCAGTTACCCAAATGCCAAGATTATAGGTATGTACCATCAAGCTGGATTCACCGTTAAATCTTTAAGATAATCCTCATATATACTAATGGTACAACCAACACTTACCAAACAGATGAATGAGAACTATAATGTTCTATAATGAACTATAATGGAAATAAAAGTTGCTAGGCCAACAGTGTACTCATTCATATCAAAGCGATTCAAACAACTCTAGAACATTTACGAGTAAAAGAAAACTTGAGACCTGGGGCTGTAGCTCAGTTGGCAGAATTCTCACCCCATACAAAACGCCTTTAGATTCCTCTCCAGCATTAAATAAAACAGAAGGCTGATCAACACCTGCAGTCCCAGTACTCGAGACACAGGCAGGGTGTCTGCATCACACCCTGCCCCTAAAAGGCGCAGGGACCATTGCAGAGGGAATGAAAAGACAAGAGAAGCCAGGGGCTCAGGAGAAAGGTTGTGAAGCTGCTTTCCATCCAGGACAGGGCCATTTCACCAATGAACTCACACTGGCTGTGGCTGCCTCTGCCTGCAAGACAGTCAGAACGCCAGCATTCACCAAGTCCCACTTCTACCCAAAGAGCGGCTGCTGGAGGAGGGAGAGTCAGGTTTCCTCAGGGCACATGGTCCCTGCTAGGTCGCCCATGCTCCAGAGGCTGGTCCTACCCTCTCTCATACTGCCAGCACTCATTAGACTCAGTGGTCTAAAATATAAATAAATGTGGACATTAGGAGTGTGTGTGTGTGTGTGTCACTCAGGCAGACACACGCTTACTTGTTATTGGCCGGTCCTGCCGCTAAGACGTCGGACTGCAGCTTTGGGAAGAACCCTTGCTCATATTTGCCTTGGCCGATTTTCATATCAAGTAGATGTGGGTGAATTGCAGTGTGATCCATTTTCATCAGTCTTTGCTCAATTGACTGGGCTATAAATTAAATTTATCATAAATTAGAGGCATTTCATTCCCAAAACGCTGTTTCATATATTCATGCACCTACAGAAAACTGAAATCATCCCGTCACTCAGAAACAGATTTTTACAAAGGCCATTGATAATCAGGAATATGACTTTAGAAAGATTACTTTTAAATAAATAATGAAAATATTATATACACATACACATGTCCACAGGGAACATATAGCAATGTAGCTTTTAGTAATTATACAGCCAGGGAATCCTGAACATTCAGAAATTATCATGCCTACTTCGTGAGGTCAGAGGTTGTGTACTCTTAAGGCTTTCAAGGGTTTATGTCAACACTGAGAACCAGTTACAGAACCACAGCCAAATTCTTCAACCTCTCAGTTTCCTCGCTCACAGAATGATAATAAAGCAACAACAAACAGCAGTGCACACCTGTCACTAGGACTGCATGTGAAGGCGTATCAAGACAAACACTGCCACATAGGAAAGACTCAAATGTTGGCTATTATTTACTTAACAGAATGTATTTCACAACCAGACAAGTCCAGAAAAATTCATAATTCTTTCAGAGAAACTGGTGTTAGGGTTGGGGAAACCTTTAATTTGAATGAAAAAACCCAGAGATTATGCCGGGCGGTGGTGGCGCACGCCTTTAATCCCAGCACTCGGGAGGCAGAGGCAGGTGGATCACTGTGAATTCGAGACCAGCCTGATCTACAAGAGCTAGTTCCAGGACAAGCTCCAAAGCCACAGAGAAACCCTGTCCTGAAAAAAACAAAAAAAAAGAAAAACCCAGAGATTTAATTTCAAGACATGGAATTATATAACTAACTGTAAAACGAAGCAAACAAGTACTGTTTTAGCTATGTAAACTAGACAGCATCTCAGATTTCCTTTTTGTTTTTATTTTAGACAAAATCTTGCCTTAAACTACCGGTCCTTCTATTTTGGCTTCCTGGGTGCTAGGATTCAGACATGTTCCACTGTGCTTTGGCTTAACTATTTTAGTTAACAGCTAGAGACAGGAGGTGACGGGTAAAGAGGCAGCATCAGTACCAAGATGGAGATTAACACTTTTTTTCTAACACAAGGAAATAACAAAAATCTGCATCTTTTGAATGTCCATAAAAATAGAAATTCACAGAAGTCTGAAGAAAAGTATAAAAGCTTCTTGATAACACTAGGACTAGTCAATGATGTCTCAAAAAGAAAATTAGCTTCAGGCGGGCGGTAGTGGTGCACTCCTTTAGTCCCAGCCACTTGGGAGGCAGAGACAGGCAGATCTCTGAATTTGAGACCAGCCTGACCTACAGAGCAAGTTCTAGGATAGCCAGGGTTCCACAGAGAAACCCTGTCTTCATAAACAGAAACAAACTTAACTTTGTGCTGAATAACTCAACAGTCTATCAAAGGCTGGCAAATATACCTGCTTCTTTTAAACTGTTGCACTTCTGATAGATAGAAGTCCGCAGGGTGGGTGTGGGCGCCCTTACGTTATACAACCTTATCTTCTCAATCCGAGAGTCAAAGACCCGAAGCAGAGGGTCCTTCTCTTCCCACTGAGACATGATTTTATTATCAATAAAGGTGGCGAACATCTGTGTTTCAATGAAGCGTGAAAGAAATGGCAGGTAAGGTTCAGGCTGGTCAGAGAGGAAGGATGCCTGCAATGAGATAATTAGCAAATTATTAATGAGGTCACCTTAATGTTATATAAGATGGACATGAAGAGTGTGTTAAGGTTATTATTCTTCAAACTTATATAAAACTGATGTTTGACATTTAAAGTCTTACAGATCTATTTGTTTTTCCTCTAAATTTCTAGGTTTTTTGGTCACTTAGGACTTTAGCATTGATCTTACCTTTCAAACCTGATTTACATTGGTATCCTGATGACCATTATGCAGAAGAGAGGAATCATCAGTGAACGATTGTGGATAAGGCTATACAATGGACTGTCAATCATCCACTTCACCTACCATTATAGCTGGTTCTTCTTCCCAGGGAGTAATCTCTTCTGTTCCCTGTTCCTAGCCTAGAAATGGACCTCTAACCAAAAGGCTGCAAGATGAGCGAGTGACTAGATATCAGATTATATACATATCAAAATTATATATCAGATATGTATATATACACATATATGCACAATAATTTGCATATGTTTATGCAAGAACTTAAAAATAACAACATGGAATTTGTGCCTATGGGTAAAATTCTTTTGATCTTCAAGCAGATGTTTTTCTAACTCAAGATTAAACTCCTTTCATACCTATGTTAACACAATTGTCTGTGATTTAAAGAGAGAAAACACTGCCTTAAAAAAGAAAAAATATACAGGAGGATCTTCAAAATGATACAAGCTGTTCTTCCCTCTTACTAGCTTGTGTGATGCAACAGATTACAACTGGCTTCTATCTGAAGAGCTCACATTCTTGTTTTCAGTTCATGTATACTGTACGTAGGAATTCTAAGCTTGGTTACGATGAGCTGAAACTTATAAGTGAACTCCTATTCCAGCCGCTGGGTTGGTTTTGTTTTTCATTCTTTGACTCTTCAAAGTTAAATGCGGTGTCAGAGTCAGAGGAGAAAGGGGAAAGGTAGTTCCAACATAAAGTTGCTATTGTTAGTATTTATCAAGTTTCTTCCTAGAATATTTAATTTTTCCATTTATTAGTTCAGGGGATTTTTAATAAAAGCTTCTTTACAGAGCCCACTTTTCAATTGAAAGCTTGCATAGTTTAATGTACTTATATAAGTACACATATCCATATCCAGATAGACTCACAGCAGTCTCTAGAAATCAGTTTGTCTCCTTAATGTTATTTCATAAACATCGAATTTACTTTTCATAGGACAGACATCCCTCCCTCTGAAAATGGGTCAAACATCAGCTTTTGATGTTCAGATTCTTGTGTCCTATAACATTTAAAATCACCCAGAAGTTGATTTTTCAAGACTACTCTGCCCTGCATATTTCCTTAGTGGAAAATAAGATGATTCTAGCTTTCTGGAATCCAACACGTGAATTCCATTTTCTTAGGGGTTATACAGAAAGAAATTCACTTCTAATATAAAACTACAGAGAATAAAATAGAACAAGGTATTAGGATATTAACTTAAATCAGAATTTGAATTGCCTCAAAGATAGATCATGAATGTGTAAGATTAGTTCTTAAAGTGGAGAAAAGTATAATAAAAACTAAGCAAAAATGGGAACAGGTTCTAGAGCAGAAATATATTTAAAAAGTGGTTTCTTAATATTAAAGAAGTTTAATCAGGCATAAAGTACACCAGCAAATTCTGATGCACATAGTATATTATCCTACAAGAAAAAATATGATAACACCAGAAAATAATCTTTGATACTACACAAACATTTAATAAATACCTATTTGTCAGATGCTTCAAAATTAAACACTTAGCATCTTGGAGTGTAATAGCTCCTTTGGGAAGGTTTTTAAGACACATTCTAACAGCAGAAGTACACTTGTGCAGTGACCTAAGGGACTCCACAGACATCTCTCCTGCTTTTGTCTGTTGGAAGAGATCTGGGGTGCACGAAGAACACTGGAGGGGATAGAGCAAACCTTAGAGAGAAGCTTCAGAGGACAGCAAAAAGTTTCCTTCTCTAAACTTTGGAATATAATCTTAGACTAGCAGTCATGAACCCAAATTTACCCATTTGTTCTCTTTTAAGATACAAAAGACGTGAAATTAGGCTTATGAAACCTGTTAACCTTTAGATGAACAAGTTGGGTGTTACATCACTGGGTGAAGGCTATCAGTGAGAATCTCTTAGAAAAGGAATGGGCTTAAATTTTCTAGAGTTGGTCATGAAACAAGAGTAAACAAAACTCTTACGGGAGCAGAAGACTCATGAAGATCAAGATCATATATGTGATATAATAATTTAATATTCAATTCAAAAGCCAGTTTTATGAGCGGTCAATTTGCTCTTTTGAGACTGGTCTCGGGTTTCCCAGGCTGGTCTCAAACTTACTACGTAGCAGAGGGTGGTCTTGCACTCCTGACCCTCCTGCTTCTACCTCCCAAGGATTTGCTTTCTTGTGAAACTACTTTATCTAGCATAAAAAACTTAGTGGGATGGAAGAAAGGAAAAACCTGTGCTTAAAAAGTTAAAAAGACTAGTACTGTAGGTCATTGCAACCATAGAGAGGAAAACTATGGTTCTTTTTACTTTGTCAAAGTTCTGCATCTGCTCCCGGTTGGTCAGCCAGGCCTCCATGTCCTGGGCGGTCTGAATCACAAATGCTTCATAATCCGCAAACATCTGTATAAAGCGGCTGGCAAAGACCTCTCGTACTTGTATGTTGAGTTGGTAGTCCCTCAATTCTGCCTCTTCACACTGTAATTTCAAATCCTTTTCTTTTTCATTCAGAGAAGCTGAGAGGTCAATTTTTTCCACAGTCACACCAGTCCTATCAGCAAGAGCCTGGAGGCGGGCTATGGTTTCATTGCCCTTCATTAACTCGTACACGCTGATGTTGCTGGTGGGGACATTGCCATTCTTTCTGTCGTTAGCCAGGTCTTTCAGAACCATGTTCTTCAGTTTGGTGGCACTCTCGCTACAATGGAGGCTGCCTTCAGGAGGAATCCCAAATTGGAGAAGAACTTCAGACAGTTCTTGGATAAAATCCACCTTATTGGGGAACTGTGGAAATTCTTCAGGCAATTCAATAAAATGGTTGTCAATATCCACAAAACACAAATTAGCCTGAAATAGAAAAAAAAATCACAAATGTTTTGTGAAAATGTACAAGGCTGACTTATTAAAACTTAAATGACTTCAGAGGGCTCCAATATTGTAGATCCAAAGCCAAGTTATCTTGGGCTATAGTTAGCCTTCTAAATAGCATTACTGTCCACCTGTGATTGGCCTAACATCTTTGTTAGTTAGAAATTTACCAATGAGACCCTTTAGCTCCCACCAACCTTGTGGAACTATTTTATCTGCATAAAATATTTAATGGCTAAGAATTGTCACAGAATATTTTTACTGTGAAGATATGCCTTTGCCAACGCACCTTCTGGTTGAGTTATTAAAGAGCCGAATGGCCAATACGTGGCCAGAAGAAGACAGGCAGATTTCTGAGGGGAGAGAGAGGAAAAGAAATCTAGGCACATGGATTCCTCCAGAGACTCTGAACAGCGGCAACCAAGCCACATGGCAGAATGGAAACTTTAAAAGACAGGTTAACTTCTAAGAACTAATTAGGAACAAGCCTAAGCTAAGGCTGAGCATGTCACTGTTGGGGAGCTGGAGGTACGAAGACTTGTTAGAAAGAATGCCATCAAATACTTGAGGCTGTAGCAGAGCCTTCCCTGCTTTGCTGTAACCTGCTTACCTAAATTTTCCACCAATGCATTTGAAAAATTCATGAAACTGTTATCACATTAGAACATGCTCTTTAGTGTCATTTAAATCCTGGCTCTCAGGTAAAGATCACTCATATTTATCTCCAGAATAAACATCTCTTATTCCCTTTAAGGTGAGAACTGTGCTCCTATGGTGACAACTTGAAAAAAATTTAATGTTCTAAAATATTCTATTATAAACAGAAACAAAGTATACCATGCTTAAACAATTTTAAAAATACCAGACCCCAGGCTAGCCTTGAATTTGCTATATAGATAAGATGAACATGACACTGATCTACTTCTGCTTCCTAAATTTTCAGGCAAACACCAACCAGGCCTGGCTCAAAAATTATTTTTTTATACTGCATTTTGTGGTGGGTATGTGTAGTGTGGAAATTGAGACTGGAGCCTTGGGTACCCTAAGAAAGTTCTCTTCAGTACTTTACACGTTACTTTAGGCTCAGAATTTTATCTGTGAGTGAGATGTCAGGGATCGTGCCCAGGACCTTCATCACACTAGGCCTATGCCCCTACACGAAGTTACATAAATCAGCATATAAGGTCAGAGTCTTTTATTTGTTAGTTTTTTTCTAGCACATAAAATAACGTGTTTCATTATAACATTTTCTTTTTATTTTTAATGATTCATTTACTATGTATACAGTGTTCTGTCTGCATGCATGTCTACACACCAGAAGAGGACCTCAGATCTCATTATAGACCACCATGTGGTTGCTGGGAATTGAACTCGACCTCTGGAAGAACAGCCAGCGCTCTTAACCTTTGAGCCATATCTCCAGCCCCTCATTATGACATTTTCTACATTTATACTTTGGTCATGTTGGCCTGTCATTTTAATGTCATTTACTTTCATGCCTTAAATATATGTGTGTACACATATTATTAAATCTAGATTCTGTATGAGACTTTGTCTTCCTCTCAGTTACCCTCTCAACCTTCCCATTAGGTCCTTCTACCATTTGTGTGTGTGTGTGTATGTGTGTGTGTATATATGTGTGTGTGTGTATGTGGGGGTATGTGTATGCATATATGTGTATGTATCTGTGTATATGTATATCTATATGTGTATCTACAGGTGTGCACATGTACATATGTATACGTGTGTACATGTATGGATATGTGTGTATGTGCGTATGTATGTATGTATGCAGTTTGATTAATAAAAACCCAGAGACACATATTGGGGTTTAACCTGAAGGTTACAAAAGCAAAACAGCCACTGGCTCTTACCTCTACGTCAGTTCCAAATGGTGACCCTGCCTCCAGGAATCTCAGTATGAGACTGTCTGAGAGCTGTCTCCTCCTGTCTTATATTCCTCTCTAGGGCTGGGATTAAAGGTGTGCACCATTACCACCCGGATTCTATGACAAACTAGTGTGGCTACTGGGATTAAAGTGTGTGTCACCACTGTCTGGTCTGTAAGGATGACCAGTGTGGCTGATTTACTCTCCAATCTTCAGGCAAGCTTTATTTACTAAAATATAAATGAGCCTGGCAGTGTGGCGCATGCTTTTAATACCAACACTTGGGAGGTAGGAGCAGGTGGATCTCTGTGAGTTTAAGGTTAGCCTGGTCTAGAAGAGCTAGTTCCAGAACAGCTCCAAAGCTACAGAGAAACCCTGTCTTAAAAAAAAAAAAAGGAATGAAATATCACTACATATACGTATGTATCTATGTGTGTAAGTATCTGTAGCTGTGTACCTATATGTGTGTATATGTGTCGCAGGTATGTTTGTATGTGTATATATATATATATATATATGTATGTATGTGCCTGTATGTATGTATGTGTTAAAAATCTAAATTCCACATAAAGAAAACACACACTATTTGTCTTTCTGAGCAGGTTTATTTCTTTAACATGATCTCTAGTTCATCCAATTTCTAACAAATGGCATATTTTCCCTTTTTGTGGCTGAATACATTTCCATTGTGTACGCAAACCATATTGTTCTTTTTAGTACATCTGTTATACAGCTATACAGACTCCCTATCTTGGCTATCATGAATAGTGATCATGAATATGTAGGGATCTCTGTGGCGTTCAGTCTTAGATTCCTCTGGAAGAGATCTTAACTGCTGAGCCATCTCTTTTTCTAACACAGTAAAGATGAACAAGAATGGCTGAAGGTGAGGACAAGACTGTGTGATCAACGCTCAGTGCTGCACTTTTCTTCCCTTCCCTCCCGCACCCCTCCCTAAAAGATAACATAACAAACGGCTACTAACATCTATCATTTTAAATCATGAGGTAAGGGGGTAGGTGGTTAATTACAAGTCTAGGCAGCTATATTAGCTACATACCAACTAAAATAATACTTTCCTGAACATGACATTCTTAAAACTATTTTTAGAAACTTTCTTGCTAGATTTAGTCATTTTATTTCAGAGTTTTCAGGGGAACACATTTAAGTCTCTTTGAAAAGACTGTTTTACTTTTATTTATTATTTATTTGCTTTGGTTTTTTGAGACAGTGCAATCCTAGCTGTCCTGGAGTTCACCTTGCAGACCAGGCTGACCTCAAACTCACAGAGATCTGTCTGCCTCTGCCTCCCAAGTGCAAGGATTAAAGATGGGTTGATGTGGAATTCCGCTCTGTACGCCACGAATATGTTTTATTACCATTGGTTATTAAAATAGCTGTTTTGGCCAACGGCTTAGCAGAGCAAAGCCAGGGGGGAAATAGAGAGAGTAGGCAGAGTCAGAGAGATGCCATATAGCTACTGAAGTAGAAAGATGCCAGCCACCAGCCAGAACCTTACCGGTACATCACAGCCTCGTGGTGATTCATAGAATAGAAATGGGGTTAAGATGTAAGAGTTAGCTAGAAATATGCCTAAGGTATTGGCTAAACAGTATTGCAATTAATACAGCTTCTGTGTTGTATTCGGGTCTGGGCGATGAGGAAACAAGCCTACAGTGGGCACCACTACCACCTCCTTTATTTTTGGTTTTTTGAGACAAGGTCTATTACAGAATATTTGATCATATGATTAGTCCTGAGGTTGCATTATTTGCTGGAAAAAACTGTTTCTAGCTGTGGTGTGGCTCAGTTATAGCGTGCACCTTTAATCTAAGAGCTTTCTGCTTGAATATTGTAAAAAGGATTAAATAAAGTCAACATAAGTCAAAAGGTGGAACAAGCAACCAATGGATAAGAAAAAAACCATAGAGAGTAATAGAGAGTCAGGAGAGTGGAGAGAGAGATGCATAGGAAATAGAAGGGAGGGACATCCAGTTGGAGTTTTGTAGGAGAAAACGTGGACATCAGAGAGGAGGAAGGTCAGCTGGGTGCTTTCTCTGCCTCTCTGAGATAGCAGGTTTTCACCCCAGCATCTTGCTTCCAAGTCTTTATTGGCAATATTTAACATTTGAGATTTTTTTAAAAAATGTCTCTCTCTGTGTAGCTCTGGCTCTCCTGGAACTCTCTATGTAAACCAGGCTTGCTTGGAACTCACAGACATCCACCTTCATCTGATTCCAAAGTGCTGGAATTAAAGGTGTGCAACACCACACCTAGCTTAAAATATTTTTATGTCCGCCTTCTTAAAATTATGTGAAGCTGGTTATTTCATTTCACTGTAAAATGCTTCCAGAGAGAAAAGAGACATGTTGTTTACTTTACTTCTAAAACACTTATACTCTTTTTTTCTCCCCTGAGACAGGGTTTTTCTGTGTAGCCCTGGCTGTCCTGGAACTCAAGAGATCTAGCAGTCTCTACCTCTCCAGTACTGGGATTAAAGGCATGCACCACCACATCTGGTCAATGATACTCTTTAATGTGTGGTTTCTACACAGAAACACTGCTTACAATGTAGTGGTATTTTGTGTTTTAACAACTAAAGCTTGCCTGAAGATCAGAGTACAGAGGGATCTCTGTTAGTTCAAGGCCACCCTAGCCTACACAAGATTGAATTTGTCTAAAAGAGAACAGAGCTCACACAAAGGTGATCTCAGCACTTGGGATCCCACACCTTTAATCCCAGCCCTAGGGAGGTGGAGAAAGGGCTGGACAGAGAGAGAAATGTAAGGCGGGAGGAGACAGCTCAGTGCAGTCTGAGGTTTGGTGGAGACAGCTGCAGCCTGAAGACTGTCCCCACATTCTGAGGACAGGATCACTCGCCCCTTCAGTCCGAGCAGTGGAAGAGGTAAAAGGTCTCTCTAGTGGCCGGCCGCACTGCTTCTCTGATCCCTCAGCTTTCAGCCCCTAAAATCTGACTCGGGTTTTCTTTATTAAAACCAATGAGAATTTGTGCCACATGACTTTTACAGCTGATTCGCTATTTCATATTATCTCACGGATGAGTTTGTGTATTTATTAAACAATGTTGGGATCATGATTGGAAAAAAACAACTAGAAAATCACAAACATCATTTTGAGAGCTTTTAGAAATTTTAACTGGCTTATCTTTAGGGTCAAATGATACAAGCAGACAGAGAAAAGTCTTCCAACTGTATGTAGACTAAGTTGCATTAAAGTATATCAACAAGTATTCATAGAAATCAGAAAGAACTTATATATTTAAATAAATTTTCTTCTATCTTTGACAAACAATTTATAATATATAATCAATAAAAAACTAAAACATTAAGTCTTAAAAAAAAAACCAAAAAATCCGTCTGGCTAGTAAACTATTTCTTTTCCTTTGAAAAATGTAGAGTCTTTAATTCTTGTCAGGCATGGTAGCGCACACCTTTATTCCCAGCACTCAGGGTGAATCTCTGAGTTTGAGGTCACCCTGGTCTACAGAGTAATTTCCAGGGCAGCCAGGGCTATACAGAGAAACCATATCTGGTGCGGAGGGGAAGACGAATTTAATTATTTTGAACTGACAAAATACATTAACATAATTCGGAAGAAAACAAGAAAATTCAGGGAATAGAGAAGATGACAGCAGTCCCCCACTCTCTCCACAGCAGACACGACAATATGCAGGGTTCATACGGCCTCAAGCAAGCTGTTTCCCTTGAGGTGGACTGAATAGTTATGACCCTCTTAGATTCATGTGTTTGACTGCTTGGCCCATTTAGAGTGTCACTATTAGGAGGTGTGGCCTTGTTGGAGTAGGGTCACTGTAGAGGCTGGGTTTGAGGTCATAAATGCTCAGGCTGGGCCTTGTGACTCAGTTTTCACTTCTGCCTGTGGATCGTAGAATCTCAGCTCCTGCTCTTGCACCATGTCTCCCTGCATGCTGGCATGCTCTGCCATGATGACAATGGACTAAACCTCTGAAACCGCAAGCCAGTCCCAATTACATGTTTTCCTTTATAAGAGTTACAGTGGTCATGGTGTCTCTTCACAGCAACAGAATCCTAACTAAGACATCCCTTTGAATCACAAAGTTAATTTTGGCAAAGCAACACGGATGTCTGATTATAGGATTTCTTCATTCTTTCCTTCCTTCCTTCCTTCTTCCTTCCTTTTTTTTTGGGGGGGAGGTTTATTGAGACAGTGTACCTCTGTGTAGCCCTAGCTATCCTGGAACTTGCTCTATAGACCAGGCTGGCCTCAAAGTCACAGAGATTCATTTGCCTCTGACTCCTGAGTGCTTGGATTAAAGGTGTGCACCACCACTGCCTGGCCCTTGTATTCACTTCTTAAAATGAGAACAAGTTAAAGTGAAGCTCAGTTAAGAGGAATTTTATTAAGAAAGGTGATAATTAAATAGCTAATAATGTAATTAATCATTATGTTTTAAATAAGCCATATCATCCTCATCAATATTTCATTTCAAGGCTTTCCATTCCAATTTTGAGTAGCATTAACAAGAGCAAAAATTTAAATTTAATATGTTTTCAATTACTCTTGATTATTTTATTCCTAAATATTTAAAAATACAATTCAGAGAAAGAATAGTACCAATAAGCTAGAGGTTAAATTTCTGTCTCACAGATCATGCCAACATTAAGAACGGCTAATCACTGGTCACAGCCGAAGATGGCAAGCAGTGACGTACCTGCTGTCTCCACTGTCCCGCTTGCTGAGACATATTACTTTCCATTCAGTGGAGGTAAAAAATAAAATTTAACTCAGTTAAAAATAATTTTAAAGGAATACTAAGTCTGGACTATATACTGCTTACGATGGCTATTCGTGGTTGTTAACATGACAACATCTGGAGCTAACTAAACACAAGAGCGGAGGGCACCTGTGAGGTAGTTTTGCTTACTCTGAAGTGGAAGATCCACTTACAATCCAGATCTTCAGAGGTGGGAAGACCCACTGCTAATCTGGGCCATGCCTTCTGCCGACATAAGGACAAGGAAGAAGGACGCCTCTTTCTCTGACTGCTTGCTCTCATCCTGCTAGCAAGTCTATTCCTTCACTGGCATCAAATATACATACATACACATATGATTGATATGTATATATGATGAATATATACATATTCATTCTATAAATTCTATTACTTTAGAGTGCCTTAATACACTGCTCCAAAACAAAATTTATAGCATGAGGATGAAGAAAAAGTTAAATTATTTTAGGATAATAAAATGGTAATATCACACTTCAGAAATGGTAATACCACCTTCAGAAATGTATAGCTGTGAAATTTGTCACTGTCCTCTTGGAAGTGTATTTAACTAATAGTTGTGCTGCATCGAGGATCAGAGAAATAGTTTGCAGGCTAGGGCTCAGGCCCCAACCAACAGTACCGGGAAGATTCGGGCGTAACTACTGCACAAAGACAATGTTATGTAATAAAAGCCATGCCTGAAGTCAACAAACGCTTTACCTCTTGCGGAAGTTCTAATTTAGACCGGTCAGTTCCTTCTTTTGATTGAAGACCCATCAGGTAAGGGACAGGGGCATCGAGAAAATGCAGCAGAGAGGCAGGGAGGATGGGCACATAAACATGCTGCCACTGAAATGGGAAGAGGAGTGTGGTGATGCCTTCCGCCACGGTCATCAGGCGCTGGTAATCTGTATGGACGAGAGGAACAAAAGGGAAACAAGGGCTGCAGCTAACAGAAAATATCAGAAAAAAATTGTGCTAAAATACATATTTTTGTACTGGAGAGATGGTTCACTGGTTTAGAGTACTTACTGCTCCTAGAGGACCTGAGTTCAATGCCCAGCACCCATATGATGCCTAACAAAAATCAGCAACTCCCGTTCCAGAGGATCTGACCCCCTCCTTCTGACCAGGCACACGGTGCACACGGACACATGCACGCAAAATAGTCATAGACAGGATCACGGAGGAAGGCGGCCAGTTTTAGCTCATCATAGGTAGCGAGTTAACTTATTTCACCTGAGTAGCTTGCACAAAGTCTGGGGGCAGGATCACTGCTCTTCCTGGAAGCTCTGGACCTGAGTCATTTGCATCCTCTTCCTTTACAGACCACAATTCAGAGAGATCAGCATTTCCAGAGCTGGGAATCAAAGGCACGTGCCATTATGCACACACAGCCCTGAATTCTCTTAAAATGTGGAGGAATCAAAACCTAATAAATTGGGGCTGAAGAGATGGCTCAGTGGTTAAGAGCATTGCCTGCTCTTCCAAAGGTCCTGAGTTCAATTCCCAGCAACCAAATGGTGGCTCACAACCATCTGTAATGAGGTCTGGCGCCCTCTTCTGGCCTGCAGACATACACACAGACAGAATATTGCATACATAATAAATAAATTAAAAAAAACCCTAATAAATTGTTTTTGCTCTCTAGCCTTCTGAAAAAGTACAACATTGTTGCTATGAATCACTTTCATACACACACACACACACACACACACACACACACACACAATCTCCAATTCAGAGGTTAATTTTTCTCTCCTTGTGTAGATGATCATGGCTACAACTTTGATAATCTGATTTTTTTAAGATAATCTTATTATTTTAGTGCTTATTTTGTAAGTATATAAAAAAAATCAGAGCTGTGCAGGCAGCAGGCGGCTCTCGTATCTCTCAGTGACCTCCGCTGAGGCCTGCGGTGCTCTTGGGTTCTTCTGCAGAGCTACCCTGTTGCAGAGCAGGGAGGAGAACCTGCAGGGCTCCTGGGTAGAACTGCACTTCAGCAATGGGAACAGGAGCAGTGTTCCAGCCTCTGTCTCCATTTATAAAGGGGATATGGAAAAAAATACTGCTGGATGCTCAGCATGAATCTGGACGAAGTAGCTCCAAGAGCTCTCATTGTGCCAGCCCACCTCGCGCCCAGACACCACAAGATACCAACAGATCTGAAACAGACACACACAGCTTTGGAGAGAAAAACAGCACTCTGTCTGAGGAAGACTATCTTGAGAGAAGAAGAGAGGTTGAAAGCATCTTGAAGAAAAACTCGGACTGGATATGGGATTGGTCAAGTGGGCCAGAAAATATCCCCCACCATGTAGTCGTTCCCGCTCCCCTTCTTGCTTTGTAGGATAATTCCAGCTTCCTTGTCGGCCATCACTGCCCTGGGCGGTCAGTTTTGTTGCTGGCACCTTCATCATTCTTCTGATTTAAAATCCCATTGTTTGTACTTAAAATTTTGTGTGCTTTTAAAATCAGCTGTATTAGTTCGAGGCCAGCCTGGTCTACAAGAGCTAGATCCGGGGACAGGCACCAAAGCTACAGAGAAACCCTATCTCGAAAAGCCAAAAAAATAAAATAAAATAAAATAAAATCAGCTGTATTGTAAGCAAATCTGTCTACTTTAAAAGACTGGAAATGAAAATAATCTTTGCCAAATCCTTTGGAGATTACTGGACTTGCATATGGGTTAATCAGTTGCCAGTGCTTCTGTTAATCCAGGTATATTCCCAGTCTTCCTCTTTTCTATAGCGTGTTTTTAAAGGCTGCCTCCTCGACATGCTGTATATATCCTGCTGGACTTGTTTCACTGTCCCACACTTAACTCAGGTGAGTTAAAATAAAAGAAGCGTTTTTTTTTTTTTAAAGCTTTTTTTTTGTTTTGTTTTTGTTTTTTGAGACAGGGTTTCTCTGTGGCTTTGGAGCCTGTCCTGGAACTAGCTCTGTAGACCAGGCTGGTCTCGAACTCACAGAGATCCACCTTAAAAGAAACGTTTTAACGGTCAAAAAAAAAAAAAAATCAGAGCTGAGTGATGGTGGCGCCTGCCTTTAATCCCAGGACTCAGAAGGCAGAGGAAGATGAATCCCTGTGAGTTCAAGGCCAGCCTGGTCTACAGAGTGAGTTCTAGGCCTGTTACACAGAGAAACCTGTCATTAAAAAACAAAACAAAACAAAAAACAGACAAAACACAGTCCCATTTTCTGTATTTAACTCCTAACTACAGAATATCAAATCTAAGGAAAAAAGAACTACCATATAATTAAAGGATTTTTGTTTTGTTTTGTTTTTCAAGACAGGGTTTCTCTGTAGCTTTGGAAACTGTTCTGAAACTCACTCTGTAGACCAGGCTGGCCTTGAACTCAGAGATCCACCTGCCTCTGCCTGCCAAAGTGCTGGGATTAGCATGCACCACCATGCCCACTTCTGGTTGTCTTTACATGAAATTATTTGTCAAAACCAGCAATTGTCCATGATATTATGCATGCCCTCTTAAACAGTCTGCCTTAGATGTTCTGTACTTCGACATGTTCAAAATTCCTACTTAAATCCTTGGAGGCAGACAGATATGTTTTAGAATTAGATTTCTTTTTTAGACTTTGAAAGGCGGTAACATGTTTAGATCATAATCTCTGACAGGGATGAAGCTTATAAACAACATTAATATTTTCAGAGCAAGCCATGTAAGTGTTTTATAGGGAAGAGAGAAAACATAAATTTAATTTGGTTCTGATCTGGTTTTGTTGATAATAAATCAGTTACAAAAATAATCATTTTCAGAACTGTTTTAGATTTGGGAATTAAAGATAAGGGATTGTGGACTCATAAGAATTTCATAGAATTCAGTGTACACAATTACATTAAAACCCGGGGAATACTTTGGTATTTGCTAAAGGTTAAGAAAAATGGTCAGCTGTTACTTGGTTCATTTGACCAAGTACAAAAAGGATGTTTTCCACTTAAAATTTTTGTGCCATTCTATCATTAAAATGTTTTAAAGATTCATTTTTGTTATTTTTAAATTATGTGTATATGGGGGGGAAGGCATGTGCATATGAGGGAAGCTACCCTTGGGGTACAGAAGGGAGTGCTGGATCTCCCTGGATCTGGCAGACGACCTAGACTCGATTCCTAGCGTCCACATGGTAGCTCACAACCATCCATGCTTCCAAGAGAGCCAACGACCTCCCTCTCCTTACATCCAAGGGCACCAGGCATGCACGTGCTGCATAGACACACATGCAGACAAAACGTTCATTCACATTAAAGAAAATAATTTTTTTTTTCTTTTTCGAGACAGGGTTTCTCTGTGGTTTTGGAGCCTGTCCTGGAACTAGCTCTTGTAGACCAGGCTGGTCTCAAACTCACAGAGATCCGCCTGCCTCTGCCTCCCAAGTGCTGGGATTAAAGGCGTGCGCCACCACCACCCGGCTTAAAGAAAATAAATTTAAAAGAAAAAATTTAAATTACAATTATGTATATAATTGGGGAGGGGAAGGCAGTCACAGAACAACCTGCTGGGAATTGGTTCTTTTCTACCACTACGGTGGTCCTGGGGTGGACTTCAGGTCATCAGGTTTAGCAGCAAGCACCTTTACCCGCTGAGTTATCTTATGAGACCACGTTTTTGGTCTGTACTTGAAACAATATTTTAAATAGATACTGTATTTTACAAATATACTGAGAATTATGCTGTACTGCCTGAACTGGATGCTTCTGGGGCCCCATCTGCACAATACTTTGTTTGCAGTTGAACCTGTAACGGAGGAACCCTCATTTTTATTGAACTTTACCATTTTTTAGATGGATGCCTAGTTATTAACAGCTCACCTATACTTGAAATCTTCATTGCTTTTTTTACTTATTAAGAATAAAATTTAGGTGGAACTTACTTAACATGGATAGTCCTAAGACAAACACTAGTGGTCTCAAGGTCGGAGTGTGTCATGAGTACAAAGAGTTGACCTAATTATTTGGTAGGTATGGATGGACACACACACACAACCACTAGATATTCACAGACGCAGGACTAGGAAAGTTGGTACTAGAGGGGAAGAGATCAAAAACAATCAAATAGTTACTACTGTTCTGCTAGTGATCAGGCAAGATGCCTGGGTGGGAACGGGAACAGAAAGCTGACCTGAAAATTCCTCGGGTTGGCCGAGTGGCCTTTAGGCTTAGACAGCATGCACTGTCAAACTAACTTGACTTCTGCAGTACGCCTCATTATGTCAGGTACCCCATGGCACTCTCTCCTCCCCCACAAATTCTGCCTGGGAAGTGGAGCATCTGTTCACAAAGCACATCACTAGTGATGAATAAAAGTTACAGACCAGACCAAATTTATTAGTAATTGCAGAGAAGAAATATGCACACTCTTCAGGAACTGTCGAACATCTTAGTGAAGAAATACTATCATAGTATATGTGATCTATAGTGCATATAAAGCTATAACTGGGATTAAGAATGTAGGTTAGTGGCAGAGCATTTGCTTAGTATGCATCAGAGTGACCCTGGTTCCGTGTGTGTGTGTGTGTGTGTGTGTGTGTGTGTGTGTATTTTGTTGATCACAGAATAACATTGTTATTCTTTTGTGGTTGCTGAAGTCCTACAGAAAAGTATGGCTTAGGGCTGGAAAGATGGCTCAGCAGCTGCTAAGAGCACTGGCTGCTCTTCCAGAGGTCCTGAGTTCAATTCCCAGCAATCATGTAGTGGCTCATAACCATCTGTAATGAGATCTGGTGCCTGCTTCTGGCGTCCAGGAAGAACAATGTATACATAATAAACAAACAAATAAATCTTAAAAGAAAAGTATGGCCTAGATGTGAGCACCAGATCAGCCTGCAGAAACAGTAAGGGCTGTTGGTTCTAAGACACCAGTGTCTGCTTCTTTTTTTTTTATTTCTTTCT